CACGCGCGCGGATACAGGCCCATCGGTAAATGGATGGATGAATCTGGGCGAAAAAGGGTGCCTTTGAGCTACCGAGTCCGTTGCTGCCAGATTAATTAACGAAGCACTCGCCGGAGGGGGCCCGCGGCAAGGAGGAGGATCAACGGCAACTCCGTTATCAGGGCGGAGGGCTAATAGACAGATATCCCTGACTACTTATCTATCAGCTCACCTTTCGATCAATCTTTTCTCTACCGATCTTTTCTATTCGCCGCTTCTATATTCGCGTCAATCGTTAACTAATCGCTCGTGCCGTGACAATTTATCAGTATTTCGCAATCGATACTTCTTTCTCGATATCAATTATCGGGCACAAAAGACAAAAATTTATCGCAGAAAAGTAACGAAAAAAACAACGAATTTTGTTCTATCGTAAACTTTGAAGACGAAAATTTTCGTAGAACTTAAAAAAAAAAAAAACCCAGAAACTCTTGCTCTCTAATTATTTTGTTTTATCTTTTAACGTTAATGATTCGTTCGGTTCTAAATGCTACGAGTTTAGAAATCTCCCAGGATTCCGTATAAGAGTTTAAGCGTAATCGCCGTGTCGAGATCGTCGACCATTTGTTCCGCGCGTTACGTACAGATCCGCCAAAGATTTCGAAGCGTCCATCTAAGTAATTACTGAAAGCTCAGGAGCGTCGCGTCAGGGGGTTGGGGTCAGCGATGGTGATTAAACGTGAGATAAGATACAACAACTCCACCGCACACGTGCACACGCGATACGCGGTAGGTATTTCCTTTCGTGTTAAACCGAATCTCTTAATTGAAGTAGCAGTCGTTTGAATATTTCCGACATACTGCTGTATAAAACAGTACATGTATTGGTCAACGATGAGCATGATATCAAGATCTTTATGCGACACGCTACAGATATTTTTTTCTAAAAAAAAAAACATTTTTAACTTTATTTTTTTTTATGTCATTCCAAGTTGATATAATTTTTACTAAGCAAATTTATTGGCATAAACAATCTATTTCGCTTTAATTAAAATGATTATTTGAATGCTTATACCAGCATCTATTTAATAATATATGCGTGTGTACTTTTTCCTACAAGTAAATAAATTTTAATAACGGCCTTACACATCAAGAGCGAAAACAATTCGTGAAAGAGAAAGAGAGAAAGAAAGAGGAAGAGAGAGAGAGAGAGAGAGAAGCTAACACCCCGTATATACTTTTTCTTTAGCACCCAAATTAATTCCCGAAAAAAAAAAGAAAGGACTGGCATACGCAAATGCCTTTCTTCGCGCTAATAGACTCGTCTGCTCTCTTGCGTTTTCGCTTTCTAAAGCACAACGTTGACCCCGGCGTTCTGGGGATAATCGACTGAAAATAACCCCAAGAGACGAGCACCAGAGGCCCCCCCTGGGTCTCTGATAGACTCGTTCTTCAATACAGACTGGTGCATCTGTTCCTTTTGAAGAGAACGAATGACTTCGACAATTAGAGGAGCAGCGGCAGCAGCGGCAACAGAAATCCTATCGAAAGAACACGCTTGTGCACGACCTGCGTCTTATTTCTCGCTTACAATGATCGGAATCGTCGAGATTACGTGATTGTACATCTGCGGTAATATTATTCGAAGACGTAATAGAAGGGACGTACCAAGACTCGTTTAACTCTCAAGAGCATAAGCGCATCAAAGCAAGCCGCGTAATTTATTGTTATAATACGTAATAAAATTCCACAATAAAAAAACATACGTAAATAAAATAAAACGAAAATAATTTGTATGCGTATTCTCATGAATAAGAGAAACTCTAAAAATTATAAAGTTAAGAAGAGAAACAAAAATAAATGCGCTTCGTACAATATATAACGAGTGAGGTTCAAACTATTTTCAACTCCATCGTAATAAGTGGTTGAGAATAAAACGTTGATGTGCGCTCGGATACAATTGGCTGCTGCTCATAGAATTTTCTACAATTAAAGCATTTGCATAACGCGATGGCGTGTTCGGAATATCTTTTCATCAAACTGATGAGCAAGCGGTGCCATGTATTATACATATACGCAAGGTGATAGATTGTCGGGAACAGACACGCTATAGGGGATTTTATGCATTTAATGTCCATCCCTGTACTATTCAATTTCAAAGAGAAACGACTGTATTCAAGTCTAATGATTAGTGAGAAATATCTTTTTTAAATTTTTTATTAGCGTGCGAGAATAAATCTAAAAAAATTACATGTATGTTTAAATAAATCGAAATTATTGCGGAGGAATGTAACGTTACATTAGTCCGGGAAGAGGAACAAGACTTTTTTTTTTTTTATCACTATCATGAGAACTGCTCGAGTGAAAAACGCCTTAAAACGAAGAGACACCGCGCGGTTGTGAGACTCGGGCTGATTGCAAGTCGCCAACAGTCATGATTACTAAAGCGCAGTCTGTGCGCGATCGGCGTTGATTCGCGGTTGAACGAAAGTGCTAAACGACCAATAAGGAAGTAATAGCAATACACACAGAGACAGAGAAAGAGAGAGAGAGAGAGAGAGAGAGAAAGAGAAAGAGGAGCGGGGCTTCGCCCCCCAGCAGCGGCAACGAAGGGGTGGCTCCGCGCGCAATTACGGATTTTGAGTGACAGATGCTCGCCCAGTCGGCAGTCGGAAGATTAAAACAAGTAATCAAAGTCCCAGTAGCCACCCCGGGATGGATATGGATGGATGCACGCCTCTCCGCTCCTTCTCCCTCCTACTCCCTCTCCTGCATCCCTATCTCACTGTCACCCCCGTGTATCCCCCTCCCGCCTCTTCACCCGAGCGTTCTCTCTTCCTTTTCGTCGTGTCTCCTCGCTTACCCAAACCTCCCGTACTCCACAAGTTCTGCTTCCTCCTTTACTCATCTTACTCCCTCCTGGAAGAGCAAACCACCAAGGGGTATAAGCCCCGCGCTACTATAATATCCATCTATAGCCGTCATCAAGGCGCGGCCTGAATGCTCCTTTAAGAAAATGTTCCTTTCGCGAGCAGTCGCGTAGGAAGGTTATTAGACGTCTTGAGACGCGGGTAAAAGAGCGGACGGAGGGTGATCGGGTGGTGAGTTATATTCAAACGACGTGAGTTCTCTGCTATCCTGCTTAAAGTGCTAAAGACGTGTCCAATGCGTCGGTAATAAAGATTCTTTAGAGATGGAAGATCAACGGGGAAAAAGGGAGAGAAGAAACGACGATCGTTAAAATTAATTTTTATTTTATATTAATGTCAGGATAAATGTACTTTCGAATCTGACATATTTAAAAAAAAACCGATACTTTATATCTTTCTTTTAAAAATTTTTATCACTGATAAAAATTTTTTAAAAACTGACGCGATATCACTGTTGATTTTTTTTTTTTTTACCGTACAAAAGTATTCCGAGAATAAAAGTAATCCGCGGTTGTGAACTACAAGATAACGATCTTCCGAACAAAATAAAAATTGGCGTGGCACTTGCTTAAAATCGTTTAAGGGGATCGTCGTCGACACAATTAGGACCTTGAAACCTTACTTGTTACACGCTCGACTATCCCACAATGGAAGTACCATAAACCGCGGGCGGTGAACAAGAAATCCCTTCGATTAGACTCGGTAACATAATGCCGATATAATCTGACCACTTAATCGACAAAATATAATAGTGAATCGAACGATTACGTCTGCAATCCTTGTCCCGCGGCTGGCGGAACATAAAGCGAGAGTTATTTCAGGAAAACTGAGGATAATATTACTCCTAATTTGAGGAGAGAGCGCTTTCACCATGTATTAGTGTAAATAATAACCGAAGTGCATCTTCTGTGCTTTTTGAATCCCGACGTGTATTGTAAAAATAACAATGTACAAAAAAACATTTTCTTAACTTGGCAAAAATACTATTACTTTGCAACGGAACGTAATAAAATTGAAACAATGCTGCCAGAAAAAAGTAAAATCAATATGTTGTGTCCCCCTCTTTCCCTTCCAAATATATTCAACAGAAATATATTTAAAAAATTTGTTATTCATTTCCTTCATTTCTGTTATCTTTCTCTATTTCTCTTTAATTCATTCTTCTATTTTACACTTTGCGACGATAATGAAACCGTGGCTGCTGCGGTAGACGACTTGTCAACACAAGCAGAATATCACGAGACGAGAACACGGACGTGAATGTGATTAGTCTCGAGATTTTCGTGCGCGCACGAGTGGTGAACATGGATTGGATTTAGCGTGGATGCGGAAAAGGACGACGGGCGTGGAAGGATGAGCCGTTTATCTCAGGCGTCGCTTTTCAGTTTTTCTTTCTCTCTCGCGATCTTTCGATCCCGCGCAATCCCGGGGTTTTTCACTTCGGTACGAGAGACTCTCAGTTCCCTTTATCTTCCCTCTCATTTTTTTGATTATTTTATCTCTTCCCCCGAGAAGAAGAGGAGAGGAGGCTTTCCTCGTGCCTCTCGACGCGGGAGTATATCTTCTCTCTTGGTGAAATAATAAAAGCTTGCTCTTCTAAATTTATCATGAGCAGCTTGTAGAAACAGCTTCCGCCAGCAGCGCACGCCAACTTACCTGCCTGCTGACATTGTAACGGCTTTTAATTCCGTCATCTACCTCATGCTGCGCGCTAATTAATCTTATAGTATCCGCGCGCTCACAAATACATCCTGTTCGCGTGTGCTTCGATGTAATTTTAGCAGTCATCGCCAATTGCTCTAATTCACCATCACATTTTGGCGTAAATCGAACAATTATTGAGAAAATTTATCAAGTATATTTTTTTTTATAATTTTATATACAGATTATTTACGTTTTTTTCTTATTATGTTTACTGCTTGTTATGTTTATCATTAAACTACTTGTACTTCTCGTGTTTACATACATATATAATAGTGCATAGAAATACATATAAATATATGACATGGTTTCCAACACGACATATATTTGTATACATTTTATTTATTTTTATGTATAATTTATTTGAGAAATATATTCTATTACAAAAAAGCCCGAGAGATATATTATATTATATACAATATATAGAAAAAAAATATATTATATATAATATTATACTCATTATACTCTAATTACTGTACATACCTCCATTCTTAGAGAAAAAGTGCTAAAAACATCTTAGTTAACAGACTTAAAGTATTCCTGGCTATCCTTCGGATTTGGTTTGATGGTTTTGGAATCCGGCTGCCAATTTGCAGGACACACTTCTCCGTGTTTCTCAACAAATTGAAAAGCTTTGATCAGTCTCAATGTTTCTTCAACACTTCTGCCAACTGGCAGATCGTTAATACAAAACTGCCGAAGAATTCCCTCCTTGTCTATAATGAATAGACCTCTGAGTGCGGCTCCTATGTCTGGCAATAAAACATTGTATTTTGTGGATATTTCTTTGTTAAAATCGCTCAAAAGAGGATAGCCCAGGTCTCCACCAAGGCCACCCTGTTTCCTTGGTGTGTTAATCCATGCTAAGTGACTGAAGTGCGAGTCTGTCGAAACTCCAATCACTTGTGTATTGAGAGCTTCGAACTCGGAGACTTTTTCACTAAACGCTATGATCTCTGTTGGACAAACAAATGTACTGAAAAAAAAAGAAAAACATTATTCATGCTTTATACGTATAATATTGAAGTATAATGTTGTGCGCATATAGAAAAAAAAGTACTTACAAATCTAACGGATAGAAAAATAGAACAACATATTTGCCCTTATAATCGCTCAACTTAATTTCTTTGAAATCGCCTTTAACCACCGCAGTGCCAGAAAAGTCCGGCGCAGGTTTTTGGATTTGTGGCCAATTGCTCATCAATTTCGAACTCACTGTGAAATTACGAACATATTCTGACAATAATGTATTGTTTGTTTTTGCCAGCGAGCCAGCTGCAGCGGCGAACTGTAAACATATTCAGGTTGAAGAGATAACAAAATTAATATTACCTTCACTTAAATAAATGCATAACTTGTATTATAACCATATTATAGTGACAAATCGGCGAATGTTTTAATTTAAAATATTTGACAGTTCATAATAATTTTAGAAGAAGTATGACTCACCAGTTGTCTACTTTGTGGATACAGTGAAGCGAGTAATCGATACATTATAAAAATAAATAAAACACTAAATTTGATATACAATAAATTGTAGAATTATAGAATCGATAGAATCACTGTAGAATATTCAAGAACAACTGTGGAATGTATATGTATAGCAAGTTTTGCCAACCTTCCGAGAAACGGAGAAATGCTCGACAAACGCCTCCTGCTGGACAGCGGAAACAAGAAACGTTATAAAATTATGGATTTTAAGGTTATAAAAATCATGGACTTTTTATGAAAATAATTCAGGATAATTATGAAGAATTGTAATATAAAGTTAGCGAGTTTTATCCGATTATTTACTAAAAAAATGTTACGATAAATATAAAAATCACAAATTATTTTTACAGTGATATGTAGAAATAATTTATAAAATTGAGAAAAAGCAAAAATGGCAGCAATCATTTGAATTAAATAAAACAAATCTTGATTTTTCCTTCATTTATAAAGTTGAAAAATATTGCATTGAAAAAATTATTAAATTTAATTTTTAACGTTGAAAAAAAAATAATACAAGAGCTGATAATCACATGTTTATTATGCATATATTTATCTTATTTGTAAAGTAAATATGTACATATATATACATATAAATATATATATGTATATTGAATATATATATACACATCTTTATGTATATATAAATTTTTTAATACAGTTATATCACTTGTCAAAAAATATTCGACTATTCACATTGCATTGTATATATTTATAATTTTTATATAATATATATATATAGTTCAAAAGTATAAAGAGCGTACTATAAGAAAAATTCTATGCTTATTACAAAGACAAATGTACTATTAAGCAATGATCAGAAAGCAAAGTCTTATGACGTTTTACTTTAGTAGTATGAGGATTGTGAAAAACCGGAGTTATATAACTCTGTTTAACAAAACTTTAACAGTAATATGTAACAATTCTTTCTCTAGATTTTACATGTAAATCAGTTCTTTATCCTTAAGCCTGTTCTACAATACAGTAAGCCGTAAATCGTAAGAAATTGACCAATCACAATCGATTATTCTTCTGTAATTAGTCTGTGATTGGTCATTTTCTTACGACTTACAGCTTACGACAGTGTATTGTGGAACAGGCCTTAGCAAAATGCCTATCAATTCACTAAGAAGACGAATAATCACACAATGTGCGTTACTTCTTAACAAATTTATACTCCATGTAGCAGCTGAACATTTTTGTTTTTAATTGGAAGCCGTGGCGGTCGCGGTTGGCGCAGGTGTGGACGTTGACGTGGATTCTTCCGTCACTATACGTCGATTCTTTTTTATCCTCTTCCACTCGCCGTTCGTGTAGTTCATTTGGAAATGAGTTTCTACTAACATTGGTACAGTTGTTCCGTCCGATTGTGCCACTTCTTCTATATTTTCCGACAGCATTACTGTGACTATATTGCCCAATTTTGGACAAGGATTATCTGTAATTAAAATAATTTTTAAATGTACACTGTACTTTATTTAAAAACAGTTTCTTCTTTATATATCGTATTCATATTCTGTTCATAGACATTACCTCTAGAGCCAGCCATAAAACCTAAAATAAGAGCTTTTTCTGGACGCGTTACTTTATTTGCAGTTCTAAACATTTCTTGTGCCTCCAGCATTTGTTCTCGCTATAATTGAATTAACACATTATGAATATCTATTTCATAAGTTTAACGACACTTACAGCTAAATACAAAGTATAGTTTGCGTATGCTAACCGTAAGAGATAAGCCTTTTCTCGTATTGGCTGCCGCATTAGGCTGTGCTGTAGTTTGTATACGAATCTGCGTCACTGTCTGAGCTGGTCTGACCGTTTGCACAGCGACAGGTGTAGTTTCGACAGACGTTATTACTGTCGGCGTGGTTACCGGTGGTATCACAGGAGTAGACGTCGTAGAGGTGGTTGGCGTAGTGGCTGTATAATAAAAACAATAATAACACAATTAAAATCTGAACGGAAAAATACAATGTTGCAATATTGGTCTTACGTGTTTGTGTTGTCGTTGTTATGCTACTTGGTGTACTAGGCGCGACATAGGGTTGTGGCGTAGTCACTGCAGGTGCGACTGGCGTCGCTGGATTAATCGATGTCAGTCCTTGTGCGTACTCCGGAGTTGTAGGAGTATCCGGAACAGGTGAAGCAACAGAAGCCGCTGCCGCGGCAGCTGCTGCTTGTGCTTCGGCGACCTTCTTCTGCTGCTCCTCCAACTCCATCATCCTTTTCCTCTTCTTTGCTTGCGCATAACCTAAAGGTTGCTCAGTAATCTCTAGTAACTTAATACCACCATCTTTTCGCATTCTATTAATTGACGTCCTATTGGGCATACTGCTTGTGAGTGAGGGAGATCGAAAGCCGCTTGTTGGGACTCGGCTAGGAATACCTTTGAGAGGAGCTAAAAAGTTCAAAGATAAAATCATATTGTGTGTTGTAACATTTATATCAAGCAGCACATGCAAACATTTTGTCTCTACTTACTTGTATCAGTCATCTTACGAGGCATTCCTCTACTTCTTACTGGCACAGTGGGAGCTGTACTTTTCTTGAGATTACTAGCTGCATCAGAACTTTTTTGAAGTAATTCTGTTCTCAAAGCTGCACTTTTTGGTTTTCTCTTGAGAGTGAAGTGTTTGGTTGGTGTAGGTATTTGGCCAACCACAGAGGTCAGTGCAGTCTTATTTAGATAATGACATTCTAAAGGAAGCATAGCAGGATCGTTCTGCTTTTTGAGTAGTTTACGGAGATCATTGACCAAATCGCCAAAGATTGATCTATGTTCATCCAGATCAGTGATATCCGTGTTCAGAGAACCGGTTGATGGAAACGTCTTCATCGCTTCGGATAACATCGACACCCATAGCTCACTGTCCAAAGAAGCAACCTCAATGATTTCTTCCAGTTCCACACGCCACTATTGTCCAAACAATCGCGAATAACAAAACATTAATGAAATAAATAGCATCAATCAGCTGACGATGTGCGCGCGCAAGCGCACGAGAAATTGTATGTTGCTTCAATGAATGTTGTATATAGTACAAAAAGACATAAAAAAAAAAGATGTAAAAAAGAATAGATTTGAAGGATGACACTCGCACGGAAAGAAGTTTTGCACTTTAACTTAAAAAAATGTAAACATTTATTTGTAGTAAAAGAAAACATCATTACATGAAGACGCTAGAGTACTTACCTCTTCCACATTGCGTCTGGGTATGTGAAAGAACGACAGTAGCAGCTTGAGCTTAACCTGCGTCTGTAGGTCGGGAAAACAATCTTTGATGTTTCGGAGCACTTCGGCATTGAGTTGCGAGCAAATCGAGCTGCCAGTCCAGCTATCGTTTGACGTTCCGAGTTTATTATGGAGCCATAACGACGTATCGCTATCTCTTACATTAGCCATATTGGAATTGAGTGCTTGTATCACTCACCGTAAACGGTGGCGTGCTGAGTGCGATTCCCGCCTAAAGAAGGAACTCGTGGGCATGCAGATAGCAGCACAGAGAAGCTAAAAGAAGAAAAAGAAGGAAGGAAAAAGAAAGATATATTAAAGGCTGCGTTCAGCAGAACTCAGCGCTCAGCAAGCGCTTTGCGCTTATTTTGATTGGTCTCTTCCTGTAAATCTATTTGATATATTACAGTATATGCCAATGACAAGTAACAATCGCAAAACGCTAACCGCTGAGTTCTGCTGAACGCAGTTAAATTTGAAAATCTTGCGAATTGTAAACCCAATCTAAAACAGCAGTTTATTCTTCCGCACATAAAAGGTGCTTTGCAACTACGTACACAGGCAACACTGTGTAACACTGTGTCCATTAGTATGAGAAAGAGCATATCAGTGTGTCTCACTCACACTAAGGAACACTGTGTTCAAAGTGTCGCCTGTGTACGTAGTTGGCAGAGAGAAGCCTGAGAGCGACCAGATCCATAAGAGAGTGTGTAGTCGCTTTTCCGCTCCGTAAACTAGCGCATGTTCACGAGTGGTACACATTGGAACTACGCGGCCAGTCCACGAGCGACATGTCGGTGCGCTATGTCCACAGCGTGCGGTTCTATTCTGTGCTATGTGCATTCGAGAGCGTGAATTTGATTTTTTTTTTGAAATTTAAAATGACCGATCTCGTGATGAGAAGATGAGAAAGGAAAACAGAAAAGGATGAGAAATACGTATTATATTCTCTCGAATATACTCACACACTTGAAGAAAGTGACCATTTAAACTCGTGCACATAGCACAGAATAGAACCGCACGCTGTGGACATAGCGCACCGACATGTCGCTCGTGGACTGGCCGCGTAGTTCCAATGTGTACCACCCGTGGACATGCGCTAGTTTACGGGGCGGAAAAGTGATTACACACCTCTCTTATGGTTTTGGTCGCTCTCAGGCTTTTCTCTGGTAGTTGGAAAGCACCCAAATTCTCTACATCGGTATTGTTGGCTATACTGCTGGAAAGCAGACGAAAGCGCTTTCAACCGATTGAGTTACTCAAAGTTGGCCAAATTGGCTGTGAACGTAAAATATGTATATGCGAGCGGGGTGAAGTTGTCCGCAGAGTACAGTAGTCGTATGATGGCGCAGCATGTCGGCCGCTTGCAATTCACGCCGGCAACAATTAGAATACTATTTGTTTCCGCTCTCGTCGCCCAGCTAGCGAATGTTTACGCTTTTGTCACGGTATTGGACGACGGTATCGTCCAACACGGGAACCACGACGACGCTTCATTGCACGCTGTTCGATACGTAGTGAAATCAGCGCATGTGATAACGGCATCCGCCGCTCCCATTGCTTCGTTGTCGGTACCTTCTAACAATTTCCTTAATGATCCTCTTATTGAATTCCTGGGTGTCGAGTTTGATCACGATCTCGCAGTTCGATGGTCGTCATCGAGTCACGACTGTCCCTTGAATTCAAATTACACTTTGGATGTGATATGGATTTCGTCGACGAGAGACCGCGTGGTCTTCAAGTTCCGAACAATTCCTGATGTGAATGTTATCACTGTCTATTTTTGTCTGAAAGACGATGAAGATGACAAGAGATGGAGCAATCTTGGAAATATTATTTCCGTCGAATTTCCAAGGTGAGTTTTCAAAACTTTTCCATTGTGTGTATTGTTTGTATGTACATTTTTTCTGTCTCCTTTCTCTATCTTTTAATCTGCAGGATTATTAACTTACACTTTTAATTACTCAACTTTTCAACTCATGTGGAATTTTCCTGCTTCTCTTATACAATTAGTTTCTTTGTCTTTATATTTATACACGCTGTGATTCATGAGATACTCGCAAATGTAATTATTTAAGCAACCATAGAGACAAAAGATATATAATCTTTTATGTATAAACCAAATGTCTAAAGGAGCCATTAACAGAAAAAGTATATTAAAGATCAAAATCTATAAATATAGATATGAAAGCTATACATATAGATAAGAAAACTATATAGATATGAAATAATATAAACACAGTTTTTTCTATGAAATTAGTTTTGAAATAATAATCTGTGCGAATAATTTTCCAAATATTAATATTTTAGAACTAACACTGAAGTTCTTTAAGTGAGAAAGAGATATTCTTGTATTTCATAAATATTACATATTAGGTCTGTTCTTTTTACCTGAACTGGCTGCACTAGTTCAGAGTTTATCTTTTTTACTCCACATTGGAAAAAGAAAGATAAATTCTGAACTGATATAGCCAGTTCAGATAAAAAGAACAGACTTATAAAAAATATTATAAAAAATATTTTTTATATTTATTTTCATTATTTATTTCTACTTAAAAGAAACTAAATAAGATTTAACGATTTAATAATAACTTTGTGAATGTGTTATTTGAAAGAAATTAATTTTATCTCGCACACAAAGTGTACTTTACAAATAAATTTTTATTTTCAACTAAAGAGGCGATTGTTGTCAGTTACATGTAAATATCATTAGATGTGTATTGAAAATTCTTTCGAAGACAATAAATTGTTGTTACCAGCACTTACTATTTATGAATCAACCCGATGAAATACACATCTTCGCACAAAATTATCTTTATTCCCACGAATATTACGATATGCTGATGTGTGAGAACACGAAAGACTTTGCGAAGTATACGCGGATCGTTTGGTTTCCAATAAATCACACTTATTGTTCCTCCTTTCAGTGACTATTTACACAGTATCACCACTGAGTCCGACTAGACATATCGGATTAGTAATAAGAAAACGCAGAACAATAAATGTAAATTGTGTGTGGGGGGGGGGTGAGTGTATGTGTGTGTGTGGGTGTTTATATATATGTACACATACATTCGGATTAAGAATATGCGTAATTATTACATTATTAGACACACGTACATTTAAGTTCGCGAAGGAATTCGTCTATTATCGAAGTGCGACCGGTGATAACTGCACGTTACCGGATCACGTTAATCATTAAACCGCGTCTCACGCTGGCTGGCAATAATCCAACTAAGACTGATTCTGTAGTCAAACTTGGCTCGCGTTAATAAGTAAAAATAGATTAGCGCGCGACCCACATATATTCGTCGTCGTTTTCGATGACGCACTTTTTACGCGTTTTTTAGTGATTTTATGAAAATCTCTTAATTTTGCAAGTTGCGCAATATATAAATCTATGCAATATAATTCTAATAGCGTTTTGTACGAATCAAACACAAAATAAAATAATCTTTATCTCTTTATTCTGATTTACAAAAACGCTTTCAAATAGTCTTTCATGAATTTGTATTTTCAATTTTCAACATTTGTTAAAATATGAAAAAAATAACTGTTATTTTTACAATCAGCCCTTTTGTATGTATATTTATCGTTGACATTTTCATGTAAATAATAATATATCGTGCGACATTTGCGAAGATTTGTATTTATGCAGTACAAACATTTAATGACTGTTACAACTTTTACGTTTATCGACGCGATCTGAAAAAATATCATTATCTAAATACCTTTTATGAGGAGACGACAAGGCTTATTTATGAAAAGGCTCTCATTACATTTCTCGTGAATCACTCTGTAGATTAACGAAGTGTTTATGCCACGAATGTGAGTCTTCGTGATAACGATTGTCATGTTGGCAGATGACCACTGATTTGATGAAATACAGCTTTATCATGGAACGTTATAAATGCATGGAATGCGTATTCAAATATGTAAAACAACTGTGACCGCAATAATAATAATAATAATAATAATAACGGTAGTGCAATAAAAAAGAAATATGATCTATTTTCTGCATGAACCAGCGAGTTTTGTTATTTCCCTAGGAAATATCTTCGTGCTCGCCGCGATGCTCCATTATCTCCGCTCGCGCAAATTGAGACAAATAACTACATGCCCTTGTTCATCGAAGGGTTGAGGGTAGAATCAGCCGACAAAGAACCTAGTTACAACGAGAAAGGAATCCCCGAGATTTTGGTAGAAACCAATGCCGTGATCCGTTTATTCGGCACCGGATTCACGCCAGACACTGTGATCACTTTTACTGATATGCTAGCGAAAAGAGACACTCTTTGCGATAAGATCAAAAGCAAAGAATTTCCTGTGAGTATTGCTGTTTGACGTTTTATTGAAGGACGAAAAAAAAACAAAAATAAGAGAAATGGTTGGTATTTAGGTGGAAAGCATAGAAGGCAATACAGCAACCGTTCGTGTGGTGCTTCCCGCTTCTGTGGAGAAACCGACATTTTACATCTGCGCAAAACGACCGAAATACGAACGGGAGTATTCGAAGGAGAATGTGCTGTTCAGACACCAAGGCACTGCCGTATATAATGCTGTGAGTAATATATATCTCTTCTTTCCATTTCTCTTTCTTTTCTATTCTTTGCAAATGTTCTATTCTCCGTGAGACTCATGAATTTTTAATCAAAAGTTTCGTTATTTAGTAGAAACAATTATTTATAGTTAAGAACTTTCAGATCGGCACATACGAGAAATTATTACCGTTTTGGCTTACTATCTTGATCATTCTCACTTGTCTCAGTTTATCTGCTCTTTTCTCCGGACTCAATCTCGGTTTAATGGCGATAGATAGGACCGAATTGAAAATACTTGTCAACACCGGCACGGAAAAGGTAAACAAACTTTGTCACTTTATATGTGTATATTTTTATTTCTGTTTATACTCCATTATTCTCATATAAACATTGCAGGAGAAAAAATATGCGAGAACTATACAACCAGTAAGAAATCACGGAAATTACCTTTTGTGCTCGATTTTGTTTTCCAACGTTCTTGTCAACTCAGTGTTCACGATATTATTGGATGAATTAACATCCGGAATTGTTGCTGTTATCTGCTCAACATTGGCTATTGTGATTTTTGGTGAAATTTCACCACAGGTGTGTGTACCCTATTGAAATTATTCAAAAATTTTCATTTCACTTGTCACAGTAACAAAGTACGTGTATATATTGTAGGCCTTTTGTAGCAGGCACGGATTGTGTGTCGGTGCAAAGACCATCTATTTGACCAAGATAACAATGCTGCTCACTTTCCCTCTTAGTTATCCGATCAGCAAAATTCTAGATTGTATGCTTGGAGAAGAAATTGGAAATGTGTATAATCGGGAACGTTTGAAAGAACTAGTCAAGGTAAGAAATCAATCTGATATCCACGCAGTAATTAAATTGAATTGCGATACTTGTGACTTATTAAAGAATGTAGTAATATATTGTTAAGTTTTCAGTATTTGACAACATATTAACGCATTGTTTATTATCTATTTTTACATTATTACTTTTTCATTTTTAATTGTTCAAGAATTGACAAAGATTAAAGAATAGACAGAGAAATATTATTAGAACCATCTAAATTGCATGAACATCTGAGTGAAATTGTTACATTAATACTATACAGGTACCTTTCTAGGTAACGAATGAATACAACGATTTAGAGAAAGATGAAGTAAATATAATTGCAGGAGCGTTAGAACTGCGGAAGAAGACCGTGACAGATGTAATGACTAAAATTGAAGATGTATATATGTTGAACTATAACGCTATTTTAGACTTCGAAACTGTGTCTGAGATTATGAAATCAGGTACGAGTTTTATGCAAAATTCGCGCTCTTCTACGTATCACAATCTTTTGCGTGCTCGCAGTTATTATCAGTTTGATGTAGCAATCATATGGATAACTCTTTAGATAAGCATTTACTTTACCCTTATCATTTCTATCTGATGATTGCTTAATTATAATTGAATGTGGGTTATCGTGTTAATTTCGTTGCGTATAAATTGTATATAATGCGAAACTAAAATTATTTTTTGCATTTTCTCAGGATATTCGCGTATACCAGTATACGAAAATGTAAGAACAAACATAGTAACGATGTTGTATATCAAAGATCTCGCATTTGTCGATCCCGACGATAACATGCCACTCAAAACACTTTGCCAATTTTATCAAAATCCGTGCAATTTTGTTTTTGAAGATGTCACGTTGGATATCATGTTCAAACAGTTTAAAGAAGGTCTGTACCTGAACTGAATTTCTTTTTTTATTAATAGGTTTTTTTTTAACTATATTTAGAGGGTGAATAATAATTGTTTTTCACAGGTAATAAAGGTCACATGGCTTTCGTGCAAAGAGTAAATAACGAAGGCGAAGGTGATCCGTTTTACGAAGTAATTGGATTGGTTACATTGGAAGACGTTATCGAGGAATTAATTCAAGCTGAAATTATGGACGAGACAGATGTATTCAGTAAGTTTTTGCGTAATCATATAAATGTTTATGAGTTTACACGTCAAAAAAAAACGTGTAGAACGTTCAATATTGAATGTTAATTTCTGCAGCGGATAACAGAAGCAAACGTAAGAGGCAGGTTCGTTCAAAAGTGCCAACAGACTTTACTATCTTCGCGGAGAGAAAAGAAAATCAACGAATTCACATTTCACCACAATTGACATTAGCGATGTTCCAGTATTTATCTACAGGTAAGAAGTGATATATTAATGGATTATAAAATTTTATACATAGTAGGTTTTATTTAAATATGTGATTTTTCAGCTGTGGACTCGTTCAAAAAGGATGTTATATCAGAAACGATCTTACGGCGTTTATTGAAGCAAGATATTATTTATCATATCAAAGTAAAATCGCGCGAGAAAGCCAAAACTGATCCTGCCGCCGTAATTTATCAACAAGGGAAAGCGGTCGATTACTTCGTGTTAATCTTGGAAGGTCGCGTTGAAGTAATGCTCGGCAAAGAAAATATGATGTTCGAAAGCGGTCCTTTTACATATTTCGGATCACAAGCTCTCACTGCTAATATCGGAATGGGTAAAATTGTGAAAAATTTTGTTGAAGGAAAAGTGCCTATTTATGTAGAACGAAACATTGCGATTTTGATTCTAACATTTCTGATTTGTTTTCAGCCGAATCGCCTACGAATGCGAATCCACAAACGATTGGAAGTATTCAGTCTGTTAATTTGGATTCTATGTTGCGTCATACTTTTATACCGGACTATACCGTGCGTGCAGTGACCGAAGTATTCTACGTAAAGATTAAGAGATCTCTATATCTTGCCGCAAAACGCGCAACACTTTTGGAGAGAAGTCAAAAAGACCCATTACCTAGTCATGAACAATTCGACGATGAAGTGGAGAAGGTAGTCATTTGTTACATAAAAATCATATTTTGCTTTTTTTTTATGTCGGTTCTAATGTGACTTGAATAACAAATGATTTTATTTAATCCACGTCACAGTTGTTGCATTCTCTGGAGGAAGACGATCGTAGTGTACCTGATTCTCCGATATTAACTGCAGATAAAACTGCGGAGAATGAAAAAGGAAAAGATGCTGTTAATCATTCACCTATACGCAGCGTGACGGCGCCGACATCGCCGCTTCCGGTCAGCTCCAGCCCAGTCCCCAACTCCAAATTTGTCTCACCGCGAAACGACGGGAAAACGAAAACTTTATCACCCAAGGTTCTTAAGCTTTTAATTTTTGATGTGACGATAAAAGTTACGTCAAATCTGCTTTTTAAACAATTTTGTGATAAATTTATAAATTTATTGCATGTGCACTTTATTGTTCATTCAAGGCACAAACGAGTCCAGTAGAAGCTCATCAGATTAAACGTGATTCGCTAAATGTGCTGGATGCAGATGTTCTTACTCGTCAATCCGAAGCAGCGCGGATATTGTCTACGAAAAAAATGAGCGACGACGAAGAACGAATTAATCTTTTACCCAAACCAGATAACTCTTAACACTTACAGAACGGCCGACGAAGTTCGATTCTGTCGGTGAGATAACGTCAAGAACATCGAATTACACGTACAGTAGGACATACTGGCATGACATTATATTGCTACTGTGGCACTAGATACTTCACGCATTATTTAAATATTTATGAGAAAAGTACTTATATTTTTAGCAATTGGCTCAGAGACTGTACCCGACACTGATTTTCATACATTGCTAATTGTTTGGTAGAATGTGTGAAAACTCTTTCTCTTTTTTCTTCTATCTCTTGTTTTAGCTGTAGTTTATACTTAAAAAAAGAACATGTAGTAAAAGTACGAAGTTAATTGTCATCAAGAACATTGTATACAGTAAAACTCCAGTAATTTCGAACACTACAATTTCTCCTTGATAGGCGGGCCAATAGTTTCCCCCACTATTCATGATTCCCCGATATTCTTGAGTGATTGCGCAACTCGTAGAATGCGCAGATAACAAAGAGAGAAACACGATGACTGCATCTTTTGTCTCTTGCTACCAGTTGGTCGCTCGGAAAGGGAAAAAAATAATTTCGAATTCTAGGAAGAATCAGTTCCATGTGCTCGAAATTACTGGAGTTCTACTGTAGATAATAATAATCATGATAAATTATCAAGATAAATCATGATATTGCAGACTTTATTTTTCTAAAGCTTATCAGATGAAGAAAAAAAGATAGTGCATAAAAGAATTGCTTTAGTAGTACGTTGATTCTGATACTTTTGAACTGAAGAATATTGAACTTTTTTAACTCGATATATTGAACTTCCATTTTGTAGTTGTAAATGTACATATATATCAACGATTTTTCTGCCTTTTTAAATATATCTTTTTATATATTTCTATAGATTGTCTCTGGTATGTGTAATGAAAAATACATGCTGGGTACAGTTTTTAGCTAATCCGGAAAAAAGTGATAAAAACTATGCTGTAATAATTGCCTTCATATTATTTTGAACATATATTTTAGTATAACAATTTGTTATGTATGCAGAATGCGACTGGATAGTTGATATAAACAACAAAAGAGTGATCGTGTAAACTTAAGTCGACAATGTGAAGTGAAAATTTTGTTGCGGAAAAAGATGAGTTTTGACAAGAAGCTTTGATTTTGAAAATTTAAAATGAAAGTTTAATATTTACTTTTTTGTTGTGCGCTTATTCTCTAATCTCTAATGATATATGATCAAGATTATTAAAGATTATCTAAGCGTAAAACAAAGTAAATAATATGTATATGTAATTTTGCACAAAAACATTTTAATTTTTTTTTTTTCTACTTATTTTTGCACAAAAATTAATTTTTTGTTCTTGTACCATTTGTCCTGCTGCATTCTGTATACAGAATAAACATGAGATTCAACGACGCGATCAGCAGAAACAAGTTTATATATAGATATACATATATATGTGTATACAGGGTGTCCCAGAATTGGTGTGACATCTCTCGTAAGCAGGGACTTATACCGGTATGCAAAATACCGGTATTTTACCGATATTTTTGGGTAATACTATGAAAACCCTTATGCAAACCGAAATGCAGAAATACCGGTATGACGTAAGTCATAAGTCCCTAAACCTAAAGGTAATAAGTCTCTGGGTAGAAGGAGTAAAACGGAGTCGAAAAGTCCTGAATCATATTTTTTTATTATTTATAATAAAAGAGTAATTATTGAGTAAATCAGGTCAATCAGCGCCGATCTTTAGCCAGGCGCACGTTAGTGAACCGCGCAGAGCGCTCACACATACCAGGCGCGTGGCTCACTGACGTGTGCCTGGCTAAAGGTCGGCGCTGATTGGCCTGATTTACTCAATAATTACTCCTTTATTATAAATAATAAAAAAAATGGTTCAGAACTTTTCGACTCCGTTTTACTCCTACCTGCTTATGAGAGATGTCACACCAATTCTGGGACACCCTGTATATATATTGTATTATATGTATATGTATATATGTAGGTGTGTGTATATTACACATATATAAAATATATACAATATTTTATACATATATAAATATATATATATACATATATATATATACATTAATATATGTATATATATGTATACATATATATATATATATTTATATTTATATATATTTATATATATTAATACACACACACACACGTATATACAAGCAGTACAAATGAACAAATGGGTTTTGACAAGTTCGTACTAGCATACATTCTTTTACAGCTATCATTCAGAGAAGGAAGACGAACAAAGATTTTGACTTAACACTTTTTTGTTTTAGTTGTACGTAATAAGTGAAAATGGCCCACTTAGTAAATAGTGATGAGAGGAAAGCTTGATATTAGACATTAGTATAATTATAGTAGTACTTTTATTACGTGCCTTAAGAAGTTCTCTACATAGGTACTACAGTTGCGTGCTTAATGAAGTCTTCTTAGGAATAATCTTCCTTTTTCTTTTTCTTTTTCTCAAGGAACCGTGCAGTTAGCCAATTTACATTCCTGTTACTGGTACAGTCACATATCTCACATCAATTTTATATTAACAAAAAACAGCATTAAGTAAAAAAAAAAAAAAAACTTATAAACTCAGTTTGTGCAAACGGAGTAAGTTGTTTTTTTGTACTTATATAGCTCTCAAATATTTTATCATTTATTTTTCCATGTTATTTATCTCATGGTATCTCAATTGTAAATAGAAAATGGAAGTACTTCCTTTGGTAGTTAATAGTATTTAGTATATCGTATAACAGGTACTTAAGTTTTGGCTGAGAATATAACCGTAATATTTAAGATCTAAAATTAGTATTTTGTGACACAAAATAGGAATACATAAATTAAATATTATCTAAAGAAAAAAATAACATTGTAAATTACTTCGAAAGCAGTTTTCTTAAGATTCCTGAGTATTCGTTGCAGCTATCTCGATATCTATTTGAAACTCTGCAACAATTTATAGTTACAACTTCTCTCTCTCTCTCTCTATCATAATGCAATATGTACGGCTGCAACGAGTATCAAAGAGCCTCACACAAAGTATACTTTTTTAGAACATTAAAAAATTGTCAACTCTACGCGTAAAAAAACAATTCGCTTTCTACTGTACAATTATCAGAAAAACTCGATCAATTTTAGGAATAAGTATATTCATAATTGTGCACTAGATTTTCTCTTGTCATTTTATAACACACTGTTAATATTTGTTCGAGAATTGAAACTTTTTTGAAAACTGTTGTCTTATAAATTCATTTGAGTGATACAATTTGTGTAACTTATATTGTTGTTATTGAGTAATTATAATATACATAGATAAATACGTCGAATCGATGTATGACAATCGTCATTATATATGTTATTTATTTGTATTATTACAAATTATTATTACTTCTTGTTTGTGAAACTTACGGTTTCATTGAGAAACGACAAAATCTTAATTGGATATTTCAAAAGGATCGATAATTTTATAGTCCTAAAATGTGTGAAATAATGTCTTTCAGGAAAAATAATCAGCTCTTTTATAGAAATACAAATGTTTTATAGTCAAAACCACGGAATTGTTTGAAACTTAAATACATCGAATCGATGTAAAGCTGTAACTTATATATTATTCATCGCCGTGTTTCGGAAAATTGCTATATATTGAGGTGATTTTTTATTAGACTTTATTTTATATAGATTATTTTACAATATGCAGTATAACAAATAATTTCAAGTAAGAAACAAAACATCAATTTAAAACATCTGTTTGCATTAGTTTGTCTAATCATTTGTGAATTAAAAAGAAAAAACATTTACAGCCAATTTTTTCACTTCTAGATAAGTTTTCGATAACTCTAGAAGATATTTCCCAAAATTGGTTCTCAGAGGAATTTATCCAGAGGATAGCTATATCGAGAGATATGAAAAGAAATCGGCCGTTAATAAAACTTAGTTCAATTTCGAATTTTGTAGAGTAATATCGAGCTAGAGAAAAAATGGTTACCTGACATTGTTCTCATAGATCAATCGAAGTACTTAAAAAAGAAAAAAGATTAAAAAAAAAATGAGAAAGAACTTGCAAATATATATCTATATATATTAATATTTTATATAATTTGAATCTACATATACAAATATATAGAGAATATACATGAAAAGAAGAAATGTACATCTGGATATATAAAAGCAGTTTATTGCAAAATAGTAGACTTAGATACATTACAATACTGTTACATATATGAATAGATAAACTGTAAACATGAGAAGATAAATATAACAATTTTTATAGAGACGTGATTTTACAATAGCATGTAACATAGTGAACTTGGAATCATGTTGTTTGTTAACATGTACATTTTTTTTTTATTTTTCATCATATTTATTATGATTTTCATGTTTGTGTGTCAGTTTTTGAATACTGATTATGACCTTACTGCCATATGTTTACTTAAATTGTTGTGTGTGTCAGGTAAAGTATGAACATTATCGCAGCCAATTAATAGAATACATTAAACAGTGCTTTAGTTTGTGTTTATACATACGTATATATACTTCAGAAATATCAAACCAGAGTTGAAAGTTATGGAAGTTCATAGTTAATTCTTATGAACAAATACAATTTTGCTGATTGACAGTTTGAACAACAAAGAGAGCCAATATAATATGTGACAAAGTTTTATATAAAAGAAAATCTGTCAAAAGTATGGTCTTTTTTATATAGATATTATATATATTATCTTTATAAATTTTTTTTCTGCATACTTTAAATCCCTTATATTAAACATTATTATCATAAAATAAATCTGTTTTTCTATGTTTTTCTTACATAAGTAAGTATACATGTAGTCTTTCATTTGTAATATGTAAGAATTATAAAAATACACAACCAGAATTACAAACTTTCTATCATCTTTTTATATCCACTCTGTGTATAAACTTTATTAAATCCTTTCTCTTATAACTATGTTATAATTTATATTAATTCTCTTTAGTTTATATATTCTATGAATATAAAAATTTTTAGCGCAGTTTATATATAAAAATATCGTATTTTTAAATTATAGATAAAAAATTTTAAGTACCAAATGTCTATATAAATGAGTTTCTTCTTGCTTCTTAAAATATACTTTCATAATTCTTCCAGCATAACAAACTACTTTTTTGGTTCTAGAATTACTGTCATATGAATTAATGTCTTTCGCAAAATTATAACTCTGCTCGTATAATTTTTTTTATTTCCCTTAATTTCGTTATGTTCAAATCTTTCTTTTCAGTAATCAGAGTTTGCAATGATGCTATTTTAGCATTTATAAAGGCAGTTTTGTCTTTCTTTGATCCTCTTTTTCTTTTAATATCCTGTGGCAGAGAATTTATAAGATTTTGTATAAGACACCATGGATATTGTTCATCTATCAATGTAATCAAATCTATTTTGATATTTGAGAAACGACTTATCCCACTCTTATTGATGGGAATTTTTATAGAAACTGCTGTTTCCATAACTTTCTTCATACAAAATGTATTTTGATTTTCATTAGAAACAAAAGAAAACACTACATAACTATTTTTAGGAATTTTATCTGGAATATTTAAAGTAAGATAATGATAATTGCACAGCCTGGATACTTCCATAAAAGTGATCACTTGAAATTTCTGTTTGGAAGCATACAAATTTATTCGTCTCAATTTATCTTGTTTATCTGCAAAGCTTTCATTAAGAATATTCAATTCTTTCACTCTCTCATAAATGTTTTTTACTATGAGATCAGTTTTCTGGAACATATTGCTGCGAAGAGTGATGTTTGTATTGCTCATGGCTGCACGATTCTCCAAAGTTTCAACAGAAAATTCAAGCAATTCTTTTTGTGGTGACAGACCTATAACAGTATTTAACTTGTATTGCTGCAGACACACAAAGACTTTGTTTTCTACTTTTATCTCTTGAACCACATTAGCAAGCAGTTCTTTTTCTACATAATAAGTCTTTGATCTATCACAGTATACAATCCACAAAATATTCTCTATTTGTGCACTGAAACAAGCACAGAATGTGACAATTTTTTTTATGTCTCTCTCCAGATGTATCTTTTCAAAAATCAGATTATAATCTTTACCGTGCACTAACATTAGATAGCCATCTGTGATTGTTTCCACAAAAAGCAACAGACCTGCTACCTTGTTCTTTCTTTTTACTGGCAGAATATTCACAATAGTTCCATCAGTAGTGTGAATCAATTGTAAAGTGTCATTTCTGAGAAGAAACAATTTTCTGTCGTGTGCAACCACACACAGATTGTCCTCCGTTTCCCACTCAGCTTTTAAGCAATTTACAAACTGCGCTTCAGTATCCTCCAAGATTAGTGGGAGCGTGGATATCAGTTCAGGCGAGTCTGACGTGGTCGAGAACAACAGATTGGAAGATTTGGCATTTTTATCGACGACGTAAATACCGTCCGCTTTGGCGACAAGAACTCGGAAGAACTCGGCGCCTGAACCAAGTGCATTCTTGCTTAGGACAGCCCACTTATCATCTTGAGACAACTTGTAGACCCCACGTGGTTCGAACGCAAAGAAGGCTCTGCTACCGAAGAAGTGAATCTTCTTAAGAGGAAGTGGCGTAGGCAGTATTCGTACTTCTTGCGATATCGATCGATCTTGCGTGTAAGGAAATATCACGAGTTTGTTGTCCTCATCATTCCAACAAAAACAGGTTTCCACATCATAAAATTCGCCCACCGCAAAGTGCTTCAGTTCAATTTCCTCGTCGATTTCAATGTACATTCCTTCTGCCCTGTTTCACATAGTCTGTATATTAATACTTATATATGTATGTTAACTCAAGTATTTATAATTTTATTTAAAAATCCTAGACTATTATTAGTAAAAATTACAATTACAAGAAAACGCGGCCTGTATCACAATTTGAAGAAAGAGAAAAGCAGGGAGAAAATTCAATTTCATTGTCACAATTTCAGTGTCACCAACTTTGAATTGCGCTAGTAGCTCTAGTTGAACGTTAATGGTGATTGGTCGGTTAATGATGCATTCCAATTAGCGACACAAGGGAATCATTCTGTCTTTGTTTCTCATTGAACATCGAACAAGAACAGAATGACTCTCTTGTCGTTAATTGAAAAACCCTATAAAATGCATGTGAACGCTTTATATGGTGTTGGTTTTTTTGCAAAACTGACGCATCGGACCGTCAACTGACCAATGCGATTTCGCGAGATCCGCGACGTTCTGCGACAAGTGATATATACTTCTTGAAGTTGGTGCGCACAGAGTGCGCTACCAACACCCGTCGCATTCGACAGAACCATCTAGCGTCCAGTATTTATAGATCTCCGAAGATGCTTTGAGACACGCGCGGCATTTGCACCAGCATCTATTTCGCTATACAGTTCACATCACGCATATATACCGCACCGTGTAAAGCGCGCGGTGATCCTCCAATAATCGTTGACGTTTGAAGCCGACATCGCGCGATCATCGATTCTCGCGTTTTTTTTTTTGCAGCAAAACGGCCGACTCCAGCTATGCGATTTATCGCGAATCTCGGAGAGATCCGCGCGTAGTCGATCGGGTGTTATGTGTGTGCGGGAATTGCCTGATCTCGACGCGACCGCAGTAGCGGGTATCTAATCATTTTTGCGGGTGTGTTGCGGCTTATCAGTGCGCGGAACAATACATCTCGACGAGGCGGACGGAATCGACGGTGCGCACGGACGGCAAGATCGGCGTCGGGAGGAGGTTGACGGCGGAGGTGGTGACGGAGGCGGCGGCGGCGGTGGCGACGGCGGCGGGGAAGCTGTACATCGAACGGAACAGCCGCGCGCGCGGCGATACGTACGACGAGCTGTTGTACAGCTCGTGAAAGGGCACGGCCATATCTCGGGACGAAGGAAACGATTGGTGGCGATTTCTTGACAAGTAAGTTTGCTCGTGAAATTTATCACGCACGAGCGGCGATCTGATTTCAAGCTCTTTGGACGATAGCTGCTCTTTTTTATTTTTTTTTATTTTGCAACGAGTCGCGACTTTCTCTTTTCTTTCTCTTTCTCTTTCTCTCTCTCTCTTTCTCTTTCTCACTCGCCGTTCTGTCGCCCGTTATACTCGTATTCGCGCCCGACGAATGACGTAGCGGCCGAGGGGTGTGTCGGTCCGACGTCTGGTCTCTTTGCACCGAGACGCCTTCTGGGCCACGCAAGAAACTTCGATCTCTTTCGTTTACCGTTTGTCAGAAGTCAACGTGAACAAAATTCTGATTGTTGCGCCGCAACAAGTTGATCTCTCGCGTCAATTTTTTTTTTTTTTTTTTATCTCCGCACCGTTCGGTTTTTCGCGGACACCGATCGAAATCCGAAATTCTCTCTCGCCTCCCCCCAAAATGTCGCCATTTGCATGTCTTTCTTCTGTTTGCTATGTGCGTGAGATACTACCCCGTGATATTCTTATCGAGAGCGTAACGTATATCTTCTTTCTGTTCCGATAGGCGACCAGTCATTCAACGTTTCTCTTTACAAACGTTACGCTCGGTTGATTACGCGACTCGGGCGTAGACCTTGTTTCGGAATTGGAGCGACAGGTTCCCTTTGTAATAATTATCTCAGGTCCGAACCAAAACCAAGTTTCTGTGTATATATTGTCGAGTGACCGATTCCCCATAGAGAATTCATTTCATTATGTAATGCGCGAGATGTTCGCGCATCATCCCCGTGGATGAAGATAATAATAGTTCGCGGGATTCTCCCGATAGGAATGTGATATGCGATCGAGCGGCATCGCGGAGTGTGTAAATAACAAATGACTCAACGATATGTTTAATTACCGCAATGTTTTTAACGCAGGCTCGTTTATTCATTTTTAATTACACATAAAGATTAAATTACAGCTTTCTAGTTTCCTATTTTTGTTTCTTAATTGACACACGCTTCCTTTCTCCGGCTGCAATCTATGATTAACTATGATGTCATTGCATTAAGTGTCCGACGTCGTCGCGTTGCCGGTCGAGCGTCCGATGGAGCTTCGCATTTACATGTTTCATTCTGGCGGATGATGTCAACCTCTCGGAGCAAACAAAAAAAAAAAAAAAAACACATTTAACAGAATGTAAATATTCGATTCCCAATCGAGCGCAAAGCGTTTTCTGATCGATTTTTAATTGATTCGTAGCTCGTATTATCGGCGCGTCATTGATTACTCATTCCGCGTGCATGTATTAACACAATAGCCGTTTCTCGCCTACGTTATCTGACCTATGTGTCAATAACCCGAGACTACGCGCAATCGAAAATACGCGCAACGTTGAAGCACAAGTTCGGCTGATGATACATAAATAATCGAAAAGCAATCACGAAACGCGATTTATAGAATTAGAGTAGATGCGATTGAACGTATAAATTCGTACAATATATAGCGGAGACGGCAGAAAGAGAGAGATTCAGAACCGGTTCGAACGCGAGTAAAAAGAATTAGAAGAAGTGATACGAATGTTGTTCCGGAGTGTGTGTTTCGCGTTTTATATTTTCAGCCGTTTTTTCAATATTTAAAAACGCACGCGCTGATAACGCGCGGTGAAAACCAGGACGGGTTTTCTCTACGTGCAACGTTCAATTAAAAACCGTGTACCTTTTCTATGGCCTATAAAAGAAGTGCGACCTACATGAGACCTACGCGTGTGCACGTGTGCAGATGCACACGTATTACTACGGTGATTCCATCGCTGTGGGCCACGGGTTGCATAAGGGCTGCTAATCGTCGCATTATACGCGGTTCCTGTGTGTCGGGCGTTATGTATACACGGCGTTTATAACACTGGGTTTTCTGAATTTCCTCTCAATTTTTTTTTTTTTTTTTCTAATCGAGATATCGTATTTCTGAATTTCGAAATTTTTGCAATTTCAAAATTTAAAGAATATATGTTGTTCCGAAAATGTTTCCCGTTTCCGATTCCTTTCTATTCCGAGAATAAAGCAGGATTCGTGCCTAACGAACCTAACGGAACTTCACGTCCAATCACTTTCATTCAGTTCTCTGAAAGAAAGAAAGACGCGTTGTGTGTCTTGCGTTATCGTTGAGATAATATTTTACGAGAATAACGTGCTGTGTTTCGAGAGAGACGTTCGAGACACAAAAAAAAGGAAAAGAAACAGAGATTACCGTTACGTAATCGGAGTTGAAGTAAATTAATAAAATTAATTACGTAATCGCATTTGTTAAAATTGTTTATAATGTTAATACACAATTTTTGGGTTATAATTTTTCAATTTGTTGGCACTAATTGCAACTGTATATGCTGAGTTTCGTACGTCGAACGGAGCAATTAAATTGTCGCGAGTGTAATCGACTTTTATTAGATTTGGACACGATCGTGTCTGTGCGATTGGCGCGTTATCGAACTTCATCGTCTTCTGTTTGCTCGGAAAGTCAAGTTATGGGCCAAGCGGTAATTAACTTATTTCCTTTTTACTCACCGTTATTCTGTTATCTCATATTTAGCCGATATCGAACAAAATTGCACCAAGTTGCGCCGCACAACGACGCGCGACGCGCGTGTATGTACGGGAGGGACTTTAAACGGAGCCACTTATACCGAATATCTCAACCCTTTAACGTTAATTGCCATCAATTTGCAACCGAGTCAACCATTTGCAGTCGCGCCGCTGAATTTTTGCGTTTCACGCGAAGATACGGAGCGTTGTAGCGCGGAAAAAAATTTGTATCGCGGAATCGACGAGAAACGCGCTGTGCGCGCATTTCTTTTGCATTTGGCAAAATTTCAAACGATGTTACGTTGCGGCGGATACACGTCGTTGTATTTTCGTACGAGAGAAAGAGAGATGCGAACTCTCTCGCGCGCCGCAAGGTCAACTGGTACGTAAAACGCGCCATGGATCGATCTCATCAAATGACTGTGTCGATTAATTGGTCTCGCAAACGATCGTCGTTACGCGATCGAGAGAAACGGCGGATGTGAAAAATAATTATGCGGGAAGATGTTGTAACGGGGACAACATAATGCACACACACACACACACACCTGCCGTTTACTTACCGGTTGGTTTTATTTACCCGTGGATTTTTCGATTCGCTCGAAGAAAGATGAGAAAACGCGAGATGCCGTAAGATAAGGACGCGCGTACTCGAAGAACGTTGCACCGGTACTTGGCGTAAGAAAAGCTAAGCGGTGAACGACCGGTGACACAGATCCGAGAGGTTGAACACAAACGTTTAAACAAAATAATTAGTGACGCATTTTTGTTCTTATTTCCGCGTCGGCGAAGCGACGATTTAATTACGAACGATCAATAAAAAAAAATCGGGTGACATTCGAAAACGCCCAGTTGAACGGGAAAAAAAAAAAACTATACGAGACGCGTAAACGACTCGCACGCACACGATTCCTGGTAAGACCCCCGCAACTTTATTGATCGCACACTGGTAAGGTGTCCATACTCCCGCGTATTGGATTCGGCAGGAACGAGTGTAAACGCCGCTGTTATATGTTTCGGACGGCACGAAACATCGAGTTACCAGTGTATATATATTTCGTGTGTTTTAATTGTTTTTTAATTTTATTTTTCTCTCGTAATTTTTTGCCTCTTTTGTAATACTTAATTACTGGTCGCACGACTTGGCGTGATTAATGCGTTCTATTGTACTTATTGAAAAAGAAGCAGACGTTGTTACTTTCTAATAACGATATTGGAAAATGATATCTTTTAGCTGCCGGTATTGTAACGGGACTGAAAGATGGCAGATACGAGCCAACCACTGAGCGAGCCACATACAAACGGAGTGGTGGACGGTTTGACGGAAGAAGAAAAAAGCAAAATAAGACCCGCCGATATAGATGCGGTAAGTTTCGTCTCAAAATACGGTGCCAGTAAGTACAATAATAGGAAAACCGAGGGAAATTGAATATCCGCGATCTGTTATCAGGACTTCTTCTTTCTCCGTGCAAAGATTTGAAAATAAAATACTATGCAACACGAAATAGAAATAAGATAAGTTTTTTCGTAGGACATGAGAGAAATGGAAAGGAGAAAGAGAGTCGAGATGATGATGAACTCGCGAATCTTCCGGGAAGAACTGGAACGTATAATTGAGACACAGATGAAGGACGGTGCTGGACCCTCCGGTCTTCTGCAACAGATCTCTGATATGATGGGTGCACAGGGGGCTCGATTCAACGGCAATGTATTTAAAAGTTGGTTTTCACGTGAAATTGTTACGATCAAAAATTGTTTCTCTTTGTTTTTTTTTTCTGCGTTTTTACATGGCGCTCATTATATGTAATAACGTTTTCACAAAATACAGATTCGAATTGCGTCTTACCTATCAACGATATTCGCGGCGTGGAAAGCATGGGATACGCCAAGGGCGAGAAATTGTTGCGGTGCAAGTTGGCGGCGGTCTTCAGATTACTCGATCTGTACGGATGGACGCAAGGCGTGGGCGGACAAATTACCGCCCGTCTCAATCAGGATCAGGAACACTTTTTGGTGAATCCTTACGGTTTACTTTACCATGAGGTCACCGCGTCGAGCCTGATAAAAGTCGATATGCAGGGCACAGTTGTCGAGCAAGGAACAACGAACTTCGGTGTGCACATCACGAGTTTTCAATTACACTCGACGATACACGCCGCAAGACCCGATATCAAGTGTATTATTCACATTACTACTCCGTCCGTCACCGCTGTGAGTAAACATTCTGTCTCCTGTTTCTCCTTTCTCGCGTGTCGCTTTTCTTGAGCGTTTGCATCTTGTATACTTGATTACGCGATGTTTTAATGGCGATTAGTAACTTCATCTGTTCTTCTAAAGAAAAACATTCCAAATTATTTGAAGTTCGCAATGTATTTCTTGTAGATCTCTTCCTTGAAATCTGGATTATTACCAATCGGTCAGGAGAGTATAGTGATAGGCGAAGTGAGCACTCATCAGTACATAGGCGGTTCCGTCGAGCCCGAGGAACGAGAGAAAATCGCTAGAAATCTCGGACCGATGAATAAAGTTATGCTTTTGACGAATCGCGGCGCTCTCTGCTGCGGAGAGACCGTGGAGGAAGCGTTCTTTAACGTTTACAATACAGTGGTTGCATGCGAGACGCAGTTGAAGCTGATGCCAGTGGGTATAGATAACTTGAATCTTATCAGCGACGAATCGAAGAAGGCTATATTTGAGGCTTCGCGAAAGCCACCCATTCCCCAACAACAAAGCTCAGTGGAATCGTCCACTCTCGCGGAAAAACTTGAGAAGCGTTGGAGAATTGGCGGCACTGAGTTCGAAGCTCTCATGAGGATGCTCGACAATGCTGTGAGTTTCGCTCGAAGAATTTATTATTCGCCGTGTAACGAGATGTTCGCGCTACAAATGTAACGTTTTTTTGTGTGTTGTGTGTTTTTCTTTTTTCAGGGATTCCGTACGGGCTACATATATAGAAATCCGCTTGTAAAGGGAGAACTTCCCAAGCCGCGAAACGACGTTGAAGTTCCACCAGCTGTATCTTCTCTAGGATATTTACTCGAGGAAGAAGAATTGTACAAACAAGGGTAAGTTCGTGTGACATTCGCTGTACGCATTTTGTTACAACATCGATGTTGGCTTATGTTGCACGCTCAAAATAATCATCTGTATTTTTTGTTCAAAATAGATTCTGGAAAGGCGGACGCAAAGGCACAGACAGATCTCGTTGGTTAAATTCGCCAAATGTTTATCAAAAGGTCGAGATTCTGGAAACTGGAACACCTGATCCTAAAAAGATTACTAAGGTAGAGGTTATTACTTTTGAGAATAAGAAAGACTAATTTACTCATTCCACGTGAATTCGATGCTAGGTCTGATATATAAAAGCATTCCTACTTGTGCAATTTAATTGTATAATCGCGTATTGTGGCTGCTAATTGGACTATGAGTTGCGAGTAATGAAAGAGAAAGGCTTTAAATGTCGAGTGTTAAATCAAATAATTATATCTTGGTTCATATGCATACATTTGCATATATGTGTGATCGATTAATTTTCGTGAATTTAGTATCGCGATTTAGTAAATGCGATTTTTTTGTTTATTTTCTATTTTTGTGTAAGGCAGCTTTATTTGGTCGAACAATATTAAAGATATTTTTAGCGAAGAGACAACGTGCATATTTATGGCCGTAAATAGATAGTTTTTATCTAATGTGATAATACATATAACTGATGATTCAATTTTCAGTCAGTAGACCATAATGGCTTCTTATCATATTAATTGCATAATTTACTCTCCTTTTAGCATTTTTATTTTTGTTCAAATTTTATCATACTAGTAAATATGTATGACGGAAATACGTGTTAATTAATCACGATTGAATTTGCATTCCAGTCCCGTGCCATTGGTTTCCAACATTAATTTTTAACAATTTTAGAACTACCTTTTATGTATTTTATATTATCATTTTAATCGCACGGGACAAACGTTTCATAGAAATAAATATATCAACGTGTTGATGAGATATAATATATTTCACACTATATGTATAAGCTATCAAGTTCTTGAACTGCAGATATAGATATATTTCTTGTTATCGTGAAGCTTAATCACTATTATTTGACAAATGTCTATGTGCCTGCGTGTGTGCGTACAAAATTTATATATATAAATTATATGAAAAGAGCTATTGGTCAATTTATATAGCAATATATATATATATATATATACAAAAAGAATTTTTATTATTATTATTTTATTATTATCGCACAAATTTTTATTGACATTCATAATACCACGGACGATGGGCGACGTAAACGTCGTAAATGTCTTATTAAATAAGACATTTACTAATAGTAGCATATTATTATTCGTACACACACATTCAGTTAACTATATGGAGTTAACTACATAAAGTTATATAACATATAAGATAAAATACCAAAACAAATACACGAATCTCTGCATAATAACAGTATAACAAATAAATAGTTTTCTATTGTTATCTATTGTTGATTAAAGTGTATTTTACGATGCACACACACACACACATACAATTATTTTTCTTTTATTCTATGCCTATAGTGTTTTTTTTAGTGTATACTTACGGTGAATATTAAGAAAGATAAAACGCACGAAATAGAAACAAGAAGAGGCTTTGAAATTTTCATAAACATAAAAAATATGTTGAACTCAGTCAATCGTTAGTATAAGTACATTTATATATAAGATATTAACGACTTGTTCTCCTGTAGCCTTGGATGTTTCAATAAAGCGTTATATATATACTGTTTGACAAAAATGATTATATTAACTTGAAAAGAAATTTTAATGGTGTTTCAAGCACCATTCCTGTACGCCAATAAACTTGGTGTTCAAAATGTCAAGATTGTGTAACGTTATCGTTCATACATAATATATCTATTATTGACACGCTAATTAAATTTTGAATTCATCTATCCTATATGTAACATATATATAAAAATAAGTATTTTTTCACATGACTCTGTATGAATGTGTGCCTGATCTCATCATCAAGATTTTTGCTGGCCTGGTTACACTGATCTCACTGCATTTACAAAACCAGATCAAATGACCCCGTGCTTTAAAAAAAATTTTTTATATATTTTCTGATAAAAACTCAAAATGTTATTTATACAGTAATTGATATATTTCTGAACTGTATCTTGTATACATAATTGTAGATTAAATTTCATGTACATGTAGCTGCAACGCAAAATCCATATGTTTTGTTAACAATATATATTTCCCAGTTTTATAATTCGGAAACGATTTATTGAGAACAACATATGCAGCAGGCACACATAGCATGCAAGAGTCTTATATTATCATAATTGTCACTTACAATTAAAAGGGGTCGACTAATGTTCTGGTTTTGTGTGCAGTGGGTATCTGACGGATCTCCTACTCATAACAGCACACCAGTGAAGATAGACAGTGCTCTTCAGTTTGTGCCGAAAAACACCAATCCAAAGGAATTCAAACAGATACAACAACAGGTAAGTACAAAATATGTCGTTGGCCGTATTCGAGATTTACTGCTTCTTCACATTCTTTCTTGTTTTTTTATATCAGCCACTCTTGGCAATAAATGGCAAATGTACAAATTCCATCCACTTCCACTTTTCTTTGATAGATTAAAGATTACCGACGAGCAGAAAAGATATCGGCTGGTCCGCAATCTCACATACTAGAGGGAGTTTCATGGGAGGAAGCTAAGAAAATGCAGGTATGCGAGTGAGCTGAATAAATTTATAATCAAGTTTTTGCTTCTCAAGCTTAAACATACAGTTTAGAATCACCGATAGAACGTTTTTTCTATAAATTTTTTGAGGATAATCATTAAGTATAGCCATTTTTAATTCGTACGCTCGTTATTTACAAGGATGCGACAATTAGTGGTACGGGAGAACAAGTAGTCTTAGTAGGAGCCGCTAGCAAAGGTATTATACAGCGAGGTTTTCAACACAATGCGATGGTGTACAAGACACCCTATGCCAAAAATCCTTTCGACGCCGTCACGGATCAAGAACTGGACCAATATAAGAGAGAGATCGAACGCAAACAAAAAGGAGATCCTTGTTAGTGTTACTTCTCGTCCACTTTCTTATTTACTTTTACATTTGCATGCTTCTTTCATATTTTTGCATCCTCCGTATCTTAGAATTCTCTGTTCACTCTTATTATACGTGTTTACCTAATGTTTAATAGGACTATTAATTATACACCTATTTTGTAAATAGACGATGAATCACAATCAGAATCCGAGGCTTTGTCGTCCTTTAACATCAGTCGTGCGACGCATGAATCCAGCACTGCCAAGAGTCCTATTCAATCACCGGTTTCTGTTACTTCAGAAACAGAGGAGGAGAGTAGAGACGGTAAATTTGATATAATCAATTTCACGAAAACACGCGCGTTTTCCGCGCCACCGAACTATAAATATGTCACATTTATCACACACATATAAATACGTAAATCACATTTATCCTAATAGCGTGTATGTGTTTTTTCACTTTCTGTTATATTAACTCCCTGTACTCTCTCCTTTGCTACAGAACCCCGAGTATTACGAATAGAAACGAAACAAGTGCCTGCGCCAAGTCAACCCGAAGTTGTCTTAAGTGACGGTAAGTCGATCTTTTGTTACTCTTTCCCGTGAATGAGTTTTTCCATCGGCGGTAAATGGTTAGTGAGATAGATAGAGTTCTTTGTATTTGCTTTGATTTAACTTCACGTTGTTTCTGCATGGCCATAGCTTGCGTTAGTTATAATCTGTACATATATAATATATATATATGACAGAGTTGCATATCTATCTTTATGAAGTGTTAGAATAGCACGTTTGCACCCAAAATATCTCAGGTTTTAGCGGTCAAAATGTGTTAGTACATTCTATGCAACATTTTTATTAAGTTCCTAAATACGTAGATCATGCTCGGATAATTTGACTGTTAAAACCTTCTATATAAATGATTATACGTAAGAAAATGTACACATTTTACATATAATGCTTAGTGTTTGTTGTGTGCATTGTAATAATAAATATGTAGCTGGTTTGCGAGAGGCAAATATACGATGATATATTTATTGACAGTAGGATACTCGTCGCGGAAAATATGTCAGCACGGTAGGAAAGTGTATTTTGAACTATAAATCGCGTAAACGCGTAGTTTCTGTGATCTATCGATCCATTGAATTGTAGTATATAAATCGTCAATTAAACGTTGAAATAAGAACGGAGAAATATTCTTTACTGACAATCGGATTGTGACTCGTATACGAATTTATTTTTGATACGCAGTGGAAGGTGCTACTACACAGTTCCTTAATGAGTTGCGTTACAGTGCGAGCGAACAACTGCGAAGCGGTTACAAGGAAGGTGAGTTTTACTCCGTACTGAGAAAAAGAAACGGATCCTCCATTTCTTCATTTCAAATTGCTTTTATGTAAGCTATTTACGGCATTCGGCTGAAAAAATCGTGCATATAGTTCCGCACGTGTGTATTGATATAAAAAAGTACAAGTATCTCAAGTATCAAGTATTTAAAAGTGTAAGATTTCTGCGAACGGTAATGAAATAGATAACGCATTATCTTCAGCTGAATTACGTAATGGTTTTTCATTACGGTTAAGTAACCTTGCGTGTTCACTGTGTGAGATGCATTTTATCCGGTGTGGCTACACCTCTTCCGGCATAGAATACGCTCCTTATCCGCAATGAAACTACATAAACCACATAATGAAACAATCATCGTCTCCTTTTGCCACTCGAAATAACAATTCATAAATGCTTGCACCAATAACCGATTGTTTTTGTTGAAGCACGCAACATTTTCTCTTTCTCTTTTTTTTTTCTTTTAAATTCGCACGTGTTTCATTTAACTCGAAGTGTGATTTTTTTATTCATTCAATGGTTTATGGGACTTTTTTTCTAGTAAAGAAATTCATGCGCGATCAAGTAAAACATAATCTTGTGTAAACTTATTAAACAATTTTCTTGTAAATTTATTAAATACGATCATTTTTGTGTCTTCTTTTTTAAGACTTTTTTTATTTTGCTATAAATACAAAAGAATTATTTTGCTCGAGTTAGACAAGTAACATAATTGTGCGCGCAATAATGCACTTATTTCTCAAGTAAAAACAAAGAGACGCAACAAAAGTAAGTAAACCTAGCGGTAGGTAAAACGCTAGGGAAGTAGCATCTATTTCGAGCGGCGGGGCAGCGTTAAGCGACGAAGAAGATTCGCAAATGGTGGAGAGTGTCTCAGACCACGAATGTTCTCCGTTTCTCCAAGACGAGATGGACGAATATCATCGCCCACAGTCGTTTGTCGATCACTTTTGTTTGAGACATATTTTTGGACATAATGCTTGCAGATTACGAATTGTCCAGCAATTGCAGCAGCGTGAACGGCAAGTGTGTGCCAACGTATTGTGGTCGACCGGTTTCCGAACAACTTTACGATAATCTTCATTTGGAGAACGTTAGAGTCTCGACAACTGCCGAACGAAAAAAACCGTTTTTGATTACGCGCTCAAAAACGCAAATCGCCAGAAACGGGCCAGACATCGAGACGCGATCGAAAGCCAAGAACTCGTACTACGAGGCAAAACGAAAATTTTTCGAGGATCTTGGACGACAGAATAATTCACGAACAGAATCAGCCTCGAAGAGAAAAGCAGCGAATGTTAACAGCAAAAAGGATACGTCCGAGCGAAGTTTGAGAGTGAATCTAAACAAAGAACTGTCCGATAATTCTACGGAAATAAACGACTCACATCTAACAAAAACGAACACGATTAAAAAACACATCGGGAATCGCGATGTATGTGAGTCGCGTACAAACGATATCGAGGAATATTCTGTGAAATTGAAGAATACAGCGCAACCGAATTACGTTAAAAGAGTTAACGTGGAGAAGACAAAATCAAATTCCGAGGACATTACAGCCAGTAATGACGACAGTCAACTTGAAAAAGAGATGGAAAAAACTGAAAATCGTAAATCGATCGAACAAGTATCTTCTACAGAAAATAAATCTTCGGAAATTAAAGAGAACAACGACAGCTCCAACTCTTCTGATTCGTTTGATAAAGGCGAGGAAAGACATCAGCAACATCGCGTATCAACGTCAACGAAGACAGAAATAACACGCGCGCACAATTGTGCTAATAATGAGAACGAGAGCAAGAGAAGAAGCTTCCGATCATCAAGCGACTTATCTTCCAATAAGTATTCCAGTAATGATCGCCAAAGCGGCAAAGATGAAAAAAAATCGACGAATGGAGAAACAAACGATGCCTACGTGACGCGTATCGAGCAGAAGAAACAGAACGTTCGTTCGTGGGTCGAAAATTCAGTATGCAAGAAGTGGCCGAACAACAAAGACGTCGATCCGTACGAGTCGTATTGCAATGACATCGCGAAAATCGTCGAGAGTATCGACATGAATATCGCTTCGTCGAGAACGGAATTGGACACGTTGCCCGACACGGATCCTTGCGTTAAGTACAATCTGGACTCGACGAATATGAGTATCATCTACAGCTTAACTCCGCCAGCGGTTGTCGAGCAAGAGGACAGCAACGACGACACCTCGCACGATTTAGCGGAACGCTCGTGGCAGTCGGATTCGACGAAAAACGATGACGACGTTGGCGGCGATTACATATGGATTGACGAAAAACAGATCGCGACGAAAGCAGATTGTGAGAAAACCACGCGAGATACCGTGACGTCGAGCGACAGCAGCTACGAGTGGGAACAGCTCGAATTCGAGAAGCACTCGGCGAGCGGCTCGGACATACTCGAATTACCGAGTTGCACGATTCGCGAGCTGAAGGATATCGACGGCGAGGTGTTTCAGAGCGGAATCAATGAGTCCGCGAACGAAATAATCGCCGATTTGAATATTTCCGACAAAGAGTTACCGTCGCGCGACTCTCTTGAAATCGCGCGTTGCATCCTCACTGAGATCATCGACTCCGTTTGCGTTCTGTTGCATCTGGATTCGTGTATCAACGACCTTTGTGAATTGAGAACATTTTTACGTTGCCTAATCGACAGCTACTGCTGCGATTGCATGTTCATCGAATCCGACGATCATCAAACATACATGTTGGATATTTCTGCAATGGGAAACGATGTCAATAACATCTGTCGGCTCAAGGATTTTCTGGGAAGTTCGTTGCCGGATTTTCGCTCCAACGATGAACGAGCAAAGACGCGGGAGAAAAAAGATCGAAACTCCTCGGCTGTAATTGAGTTTTGCACTATAGCGAAAGAATCGCCAACGATTATCACCACCAGCGACGGAGCTTTGGAACTGAACTTTTGCATCGTCAAAGTCCCCTCGAACGAACGTGCCGATACGTATCGAGCACCCGGTCAGAACTCGATCGATAACGGTTGCGAGTACGGGACCAATAAAATTCTCCGTAAAAAAAAGTGCAACGATAACACAGCTTCAACAAAATTATTTGATACGTGGCCGTGCGATGGATGTTGTTGTCAGGAGGTACAAGAAGACGAAGAAGAGAATTCGATAATAGAAAGTCGTTTAACGCCCATAAACGAGGAACCGGATGAAATACACGAGACAATCGATTCCTTTTTACTCACTTCAGAAGCTAATAACAACACATCACCGTATCGTTCAGAAGTCGATCTTGCCAGTGCTGACGCAGAGAATATAGTGACTTCTGCGAAAACAAAACCCATTTCTCTCGACGATACCTATACGATTTCCGAAGGCGGTTCCGCCGACAACGATGACGCGCACGATACGGAAGAACGGTGCGACATTTGGAATTCGTCCGTAGATTACATGTCGTATTCGTTTGACACTAAAGAGTTCATAAGTTTGGAGAAAGCCATAACGGACAGCTCGTAATTGAACGCGTAATAATTATGCGTCTCGTATAAAATATTCTAATATACAATATGTTGAGTAATTTTATCTTTTCGGGATCACCGAAGTTTTCTCACTTGAGAAATTCGCAACTTATTTTGATGATCGATTTAGCAACATCATACATAAAAGCCGTTTTATCAGTTATTCTATCTGCAAAACAATATTTTTTGCTCGAGGCTTTAATTAATATTTGTGTTTGAAAATCATCGTGTAAAAATGTGTTTATATTTTTATACGGATCAATTGTTACGCGTGATTTTACTCCCCAACACATCGATTTTCCGTGTATTCGAGATAAGAAAAGACTTATTCTTTCATAGAAATCAGTGAAGAATATGCATAAATGTTAGATTTAACGATCCGCGTTATTTTTTCTCTCTTTCTTTCTCTTTTTATTTTAGTAATTTCTTTTCTTTTTTTTAATAATTGTACGTCATTTCTTTATGCACGAACAAAACATTCTTTTGCATCAATTTAACATATATCCACATGTAACAAGAAAGACTTGACAATTTCATGCTATGCATTAGTATTTATAAAAATATTTAGTTTTTCTTTAAGAGTTAAGTTTGTTATTTTGTTTCTTTTTTTTTTCATGATTGTTAACTTGATATAAAACATTTATTTAACGATTACGTTGCTGCGTGCAATGTTAGTTTTAATGCTTTGGTTTGTTTTCCTGCTTTTTCATCATTTTTAATCAAATGATAGCAGACTTAATTAATAAGTTATATACATATAAAAGTAGGATCTGCTTAAGGACAAAGTATTCTTTATTTAATCGCTACTGCAACATCATCTCTATATCACAAAAAAAAGAGATCGGGTTTGATTGTCTTTTGTTCATGTCGAGCGGATAATTATTCTTTTTTTTCTTTCTCTCTTTGCTTCGACTTTTATTGTTTGCGCTTTTTTTTCACTGCAATCAAGCCGAACCTGATTCGCGGTTGTTCTCAAGCGGGTCCTACTGTATAATTGTTTTCATTCAATGTTATTGTATATCTCTAAAGCGAAGTTAATAATTCTTAATTTGTAAATGTTCACACGTTTCTCTATCTCACACACAATTTTTAAATGTTAATATACTTCTGTCTACTACACCGCAATTTTGGAAATACGTTTTATGGTTATAAAAGTTTGCACATGTAACTTTTGCTTTTTATAATTTTTCTATACTCACACTCTTTATTCGGACACATTTAATCCTCCACCAATAATTCATCCTTCTTGATGGTGCATCTTGCAAGCTGTGGTGCTAAAGCATTTGCTTGGGAATTGTTGATTTTTCTATAACGAATAAATTCAAGAACTGTGGCCTCGCGCAAACATCAGTTTTGCAAGGTAAGACGTTTCCGTGTTTTCTTTCATTCTTCATTGCTTTTTGGAAATATATACAAAATATTTACATACACATTACATTTGTCCAAGGCTTGGTGCAATTAATTTCTTAATCCCTTGTGTCTTGCAGATCGCTATAAACATTTTAAAGCTATGTATCATTAACGTCATTCTAAGTAAAATGTGGTATTCGCCTCGTCGTAATCAATCCGAGAGTGCACGTACCGAATAATGTATTATTTATGTGTTCTAGGAGAAAATACCGTAAATGGCGATCACTCGGATGCTCATCACAGTACTTTCTCGCAAAGTAGCAAAGAGGTTTGTGTTCACACAATAATTTTGTATTTTTTAATACTAAAATCATCACACATTGCACGATACATTATATACATATGCGGAGAATGTAAGTATGTTGAATATAATAAAATACGAAAAACAATTTTGCTAAAACGATATTTTGCACATTGACATAATCCAAGATTACGAAGTGATTAGATTCATAAGTTTACAGATTGAACAAATCTCCGCATATATGTATGTATACGTCGATCTTGTTGCTTTCTCATGTTACATTAACACGTTTCTCCAGCATCTAGAAAAACGCTCTATTTTCACAGTAAAGAAATAAAACATTTATTGATGTGCGATATTAATATGAATCTCATTACGAGACACACAGGACTTTTAACTTTGCAAACAGTGTCGCTTTGCATCAATTAATATCATCGCTCATACATGCATAGCCGTTTTCTACACTTGACTCAACAAAAACTCTTTCATCATGTCGGTAATTTGCACGCAATCCAGACAATTGGTTTAACAGAACACAATTAATAATAATAAAAAAATATAAAAAAAAAAAAAAAACGTTGCTCTATGCATGTGCATGCGAAAAAGTTTATCGTTATGGTTGGGACCTTCCGTGTTAAGGGTTCCATGTCGCAGGATGTGAGCGTTAGCGAGGAATCGCCAAAGAAGGAGAAGAAGAAGAAGAAGGGCCTTAGGACGCCGTCTTTCCTTAAAAAGAAGAAAGAAAAGAAGAAGTCGGTCGAGGCGTAGGTAATCGTAGCTAAGGTACGTGAGCAATATTGCCAATATTGATTTAGTTTTTGCTTAAATTTTTTATTTTGATCGATATTCGACACGGAGAATTGTTTGGAAAGTTTTGTCGCGAATAGATCGCGACTACTTTGTGTATTTATGGGACATTTATATTATTTATAAGCGTTTTTATGCTTTTTTTTTTATACGGAGAAGCGATATCTTTTATATAATTCACAATCTAAATATATCTCTCTAAATTTTATTTGCTTAGAGAAATATATCTCTCAGTTAGAATGACATTTGTATAAATAAACAAATAGATTTTTTGTCTTTAATAATAATTCATCTTTGTGCTGTGATTCACCTTTGTGTTTCATAAACATGAAACTGATGCAAATGATCTAATTTATTTATTTCCAGACACTGCCACAAGCAAAAGCTTATCGTAAATGATAAAACGAAAATACAAATTTAAACTCAAAATATTGAAGCGAGTTCGTTTTAAAATAAAGGACAAAATTCGACGAATAACGAAGCACAGACGAATGGCGGAAGATGAAAAGAGGAATGAAAAGGAGATATGCGAATGTTCGCGAAGTGAACGAGCGGGAAAAAAACGCAGCATCTTTCCAAGACTCAAGACTGCCATCGCATTACGTCTATGATAACGAAACTACACTGTACTGTTAAAGTTTTTACGTTTTTAATTTGTTAAGCGTCGCGCTAATGTATTTAATCCGCTATTTAAGTTTGCCTCTTCTATCCCGTTTGTGTGTAACGCAATAAAGAGTTACATATGTACACTTTGGGGCGAAGACAGATAGAGAGGCGTCATCATTACCGACTTCGTTAATCTTACTCGCCAATATCGACGCTGTTAACGTTATTGTCGTTATCGTTACGAGACGTTATTGTCTCGTCGCTTTTTTTCCTGATTTATATCATCATCATCATCATCATTATCATTGTCATCGTCGTTGCCATCATTATCATCATCGTCGTAATCATCATGATCATCGTCGTCATCATCATCATCGTCGTCGTTGTCATTGCCGTCTTCGTCTTTGTCTTCGTCGTCGTTGTCGTCGTCGTCGTTGGTATTGTCGTTACTCTGTCATGCTCTTTATTAGCGTTATCATCAGAGTTCATGTTATATCGGATCGGTCAACTCGTCGATAGTCATGCTTGCTTTTATGATTTTTCTGACGTTATGAAAGCAATGTGGCTATCGAAGAGAAACCGCCCATTAATGACATCGTCATCATTACTACTGTTGATCGTTATATCGTCATTATTACCACTATACTATCGTTAATGGTCATTCTTATCGCCTACGTTGGCATTGTTGCTATTATTACGATAATCGTTGCTGTTTGTTTATTCTTTTCTTGCCCCCAACAAAAATTTATCTCTGTATCTTTTATTATATAATTCTTATTCATACTGGCAATATATACATATATATATACATATACATATATTTAGACTTATATAGAAGTAATGTTTCGTACATCTTTCTCTTACAGAGGAATAGAATTTTATATGAGTCAGAGAGAGTGCCAGTGTGCAAGAATACGACAATATATGTGCTTTTTACGAAGTTTGGTGAATATTTTTCTTATATTCTCAACGTAATAAAATACTTTACATGTTTCAAGTCGATCTTATTATAACAAATTGTATATACAGCAGATCATAAAGATTTTTTTCTTTTTTTTTCAACAAGTTATCAAATGTCGTTGGCTTACTGCCTTTTGTGTCTTCTTTCATTGTTTGTCTTATCGTTCTGCACCATTCTTCATCGTGTTATCCTTACCTTGTGATAACAAAGTAATTGTTCGATGACCATTACAAGTTAATTAAGATCAACAAATTTTTTTGTGAGAAATGTTCAAAAAAGATCAAGAGATGATATTATCAATCAGTTATGACTATCAAACAAGTGCGAAAATAATAAAACGCAATCACATAGCTTATAGAACGTATTTCTTGGCTCGATGTGCGCTCGAAATGGAAATACTTTTGATAATAATAAGTTTATTTCGTAGTGTTTTTATATTGATTATGAAATCGATGTTGATCATCATGATTATTGTCTAATTTTTATTGTATTATCGCTTGTGCTGATTTTTATATTATTCATTAGGATGTTATCAACATTGCGCCGCGACTGCAAAAATCTAGAAGCACAAACTACTTGTGAATTAAGCTCAGTAGTGCTCGGTTTCTCGTTTTCTCTTTCGAATGATGACAATTATAAGATCAGACCGTATGTGTCACTCGCGATTTTGCATTTTAGAAAAGTTGGCAGTCTTACACATCTTACACGTCTTTTTTACCAGATTGCGAACTTTTCATTTATACGGTGAGTAATTGCGTGTGTCTCATTTCCTCCCGATTTCTTTTTCGAAGCCCTGATATATATACACATTCGTCTTGCTTCTTCTCATTATCCATTCACGTATTATGTAATGATCGATAATAATTGTACGGTCAAAGACGTGCATATTAATGCAATCTATTATATAATGTAATGATCGATATACATATATATATATATACATATATATATAATATATGAAGAGTATTATACCAAATATATACACAAGAAAGTATTTTTAGATAATGATTATATATTTGTCAATATTTTCTTTTTTTTTCAAGCAGGCGAAATTACAAAATTTATAACAATCAAGTAGATATGTTCTGTATGCGTCAAGTATCTCGTGCGGCACGAGATACATAAAAATATTTAAAAAAAAACTAAAGATAAAAGTAATACAGTGTTTTCAAAATACTCGTAATTATTTTCAGTTGAGTTATAAAGATATTTGTACCAAAAGAAATATTGCCAAAAACCTACTGAATAAGCAATAATGATCAAGACGTAAATAAAAATACATGTGATAAGATAATATAAACACACGAAAGAAAAAACAGAAAGATAGAGAATAGAAAACGATTTTCTTATTTCTCTCTCTCTCTTGAAATGAATATAAATTTTAATATTCGTCCGCGCCGTCTCCCTCATCGCCATCGGTGGAATCCATACCAACTTCTTCGTAGTCTTTCTCCAAGGCGGCGAGATCCTCTCGCGCTTCCGAAAACTCGCCCTCTTCCATTCCTTCACCGACGTACCAATGCACAAAAGCTCTCTTCGCGTACATAAGATCGAACTTATGATCGAGCCGCGCCCAAGCCTCGGCAATCGCCGTGGTATTGGACAGCATGCAGACTGCACGCTGCACTTTGGCGAGATCTCCGCCGGGCACAACAGTCGGCGGCTGATAATTGATGCCGACTTTGAATCCTGTGGGACACCAGTCGACAAATTGAATGCTGCGCTTGGTCTTGATGGTCGCGATCGCCGCGTTAACATCTTTCGGGACCACGTCGCCTCTGTACAACATGCAGCACGCCATGTATTTTCCGTGACGCGGATCGCACTTGACCATTTGATTCGCCGGCTCAAAGCAGGAGTTTGTTATTTCGGCAACGGACAGCTGCTCGTGATAAGCCTTCTCCGCAGATATTACAGGAGCATAGGTGACTAGAGGGAAGTGAATTCGAGGATAGGGCACCAGATTCGTTTGAAATTCCGTCAGATCTACATTGAGCGCACCGTCGAAGCGCAGCGAAGCCGTGATTGAAGAAACGATCTGGCCAATCAGTCGGTTCAGATTGGTGTAAGTCGGTCGTTCGATGTCCAAATTACGTCTGCAAATATCGTATATGGCCTCGTTGTCGACCATGAACGCGCAGTCGGAATGCTCGAGAGTAGTGTGAGTTGTGAGTATGGAGTTGTACGGTTCGACAACAGCCGTTGAGACTTGCGGTGCCGGATAAATTGCGAATTCGAGCTTGGACTTTTTGCCGTAATCGACCGACAGTCGTTCCATCAGCAGAGATGTGAAACCGGAACCGGTGCCACCGCCGAACGAATGGAAGATCAAGAAGCCTTGCAATCCCGTGCATTGATCCGCGAGTTTACGAACGCGATCCAGAACGAGATCCACTATCTCTTTGCCGATTGTGTAGTGACCGCGTGCGTAATTATTGGCGGCGTCCTCTTTGCCAGTTATCAGTTGCTCCGGATGGAACAGTTGCCGATAGGTACCGGTACGCACCTCGTCTGTGAAAAAAAAAAAAAAAAAAAAAAAAAAAAAAACAATCACCTTGCACACATTTGTGTTTATCTTAAGAACGTCGTAAATCTTACCGACTACGGTGGGCTCGAGGTCGACAAACACTGCTCGAGGTACGTGCTTTCCAGCGCCAGTTTCGCAGAAAAAGGTGTTGAAACTGTCGTCACCGCCTCCGAGCAGTTTATCTGACGGCATTTGCCCATCAGGTTGAATACCGTGCTCCAAACAATATAACTCCCAACAAGCATTTCCAATTTGTACTCCCGCTTGTCCTACGTGGACGGATATACATTCGCGCTGCGACAAAAATTTCACACAATATATAATATTGTTTAATCAATTGAAATAAAATTTTATATAATCGGTGCATAATATTGTAATCAATTAGAATCTATCCAGTAGAGTTTCTCTTGATTTGAGGTTAAGTATATGATGTGTTAATTACACTTGCATTCTACTGAAAAAGCGCTTTGATAAAAACTATATCATTAGCTGAGTTCATCGCGTCGCACATAAGTGCGAACTTTTGTTCTAAAAGTAGCACAAATGTAATATGCGGATATGTCTGCAGTCGGTTGCTTGCGCCAAGAGAAAATGCCACGTTAAATAAATCGCGAAATATGCAATTTTTCGCAATATTCGAAAAATTAATTTTGAACAACGTAAAATTGTTATGTAATTAAAATAAATATATGGTCACACTTGAAGAACAAATGACTGATATTGTAATTTGTGCACGCTTTTTCCATTCAAAAAAAAAAAAAAAAGCACTTACGAATATATGGAGGGGAACAAACTTTCTTACCATTTTGAATGCGTTTAATAAACCGTTGAACAAGACAAATTTAAAAACGATCGAATGTGGTTGTTTGAACGAAGCTGGCAATGAAGCTCCTTCGAACGATCTTAACTTACTGAGCCGAGCGGACTGCGTATTACGGTCTTTTATAGCCTCGGTTTGTACTCAATATATTCCATATATATAATACTTCTATGTTGCTAGTACGGTGCCGACCTGAAGTCCATATGTTACGGTGCAGACAATATAGTAGCCTCTCTCTCCAGCTGCTTGTTGCGCATGCGGTGAACATTCAAGCACGTTTGGGCATTTCTCTTTCTCGCGTTTCTCTTTCCAATGCTTTGTCTCGCTCGCACTCGCTTAGTAGACGCGCCTGCGCATAATGACCCTCGACTATCTATGCCCATATTTGGACTTCGTGCGTCTCTTTCTCGGGCCTCGTGCCTCTCATTGCGAAGATACGCAACTAGCAATATAGAAGTATTATATATATGATGGTTGGTTTGGTGCATATATGGCTCAAAGGACCGTTTCAAGCTAGTCCATACGCCATTCTAAGTCTTTAGGAATCGTGACACAGGTTCTAAACCGTGGTTTGGGTACAAGCCACGGAGTTGTACGTTCGTTAAAAATACTGATAAACTGAAGAAATCGGTGTAAAAACACCGAAGATTGTCCAAAAATATCTAAGCGTAACTACGCACATCTAACCGGTACGGCTGATGCAACACCACTCTTTTATATATATATATGATATATTCTCGCGCCCTAGAACATGCTGCCATCAATGACACCCGTCACGTTTCGCATCCGGTTATGTAGAATTACTATTACGTAAGCATGTGTTCGCAATTGACGCAATCATGTTGGATCGAACGTTAGAAAAAGTTCTATTTCTCGCGATCTCTTAATCAAAGTTCTCGAATTTCCCGAGAGAGCTACTTATATATCTCACGTTATATGATTGTTTATTTTTTTTATTTTTTGCTTTACGTTATTGAGCAACAATGTTGCTGCGTTGCACTCTGATTCTTCTTTAGCATCAATGTGCGCGCGTGTGTGTGTGTGTGTGTTGTTCAATATCTATTGATACGCATACATATCGCTTTCTTCCGCTCTAGAATCAATGATGGGAGTCAGAGGACAAATTCGTGCATGCGCAGTAATTTTTTGAGTAACCCGTTCTTTGCACAGGTCTGGCGAGATTTGTCACATGATCGATGCGATGCTCTCACGCATGCGTGAGAAAAGATCGCGGGAGAGACGTTTCCTATCTCTTGTGTCCTTTTAAAGTAAGGTTTTTTTTTTTTTTTATATCGCGCCACGTGATGAGTATGTTTCTTTTGTAAAAGGTCTCATACCTCTCAACAACTTCATACACCTACTTACATTATCGCGGACATATCGATACATACGTGTTAGACGCGATGCTTATTATTTGTCATCGGTCGAACGAGCATGAGAGAGCGTAAGTCGGTATACGTGAACGTAGGTAAGACAAGTATCCTTATAAGGTCAGAGAAACTTCGACGGCTCTACGAGTCGTTTAATTCACTGCAATTTGAAACGTTCAGATAATACGCATCCCACACGAAATAACATTCTATACAAATCTCCATTAGTTGTTCATTAGATGTAACATGGAGTTATAGACCTCCATTAAACGTCTAATAAACGTTATGTCTGTGTGGAATATATGCGTTTCTCCTATTAAAACTTCAATATTCTTTTATATCTATATATATATAATGTTTCTTATCTTTTTTTTTACAAATGTCACACACACATACACACACACAAATATATGCTAGTGAAATAATTCTGAATAATTATCCAGCATTACAAATTTTTGTGCATATAAAATAATTATTTTCGGACATATCAAGTAGCCGCCGATAAGGGATAAAATCCAAGGCCAATATATTTATAGTCCGATCTTATAAGATCGTCTTAATTAAGTTCATCTTAACGATATTGTACGGGTTTATTTCAAGATGAACTTAAAACGATCTTATCATTTGCATATCTTTTCATTTGCGCTTCAAAAGTCTTTTGTATGAAATAAAAAAACAAAATTGTATATGGAACTTCTTTAAAAAGACGTTTGTGTTCGGTCAAGTGTATGTCAGTACTTAGAACGCACCTACGATCAATATAATGAACATGCCTAAAAATTTGCAGTGATTTGCACTTTGCAACACTTGTAGTTATATATATACAATACACAACATGATATTAAATGTAATGTCTAATGTCACGTTGTTAGTATGTACGTTTTGCGGTGAAAAAGTTCAGAAGTGACATTTAAAGATTATGTCTATATAACATTTTTTTCTTGTACACATAAAATTTGATCAGGAGAAGAGTGTGGAATAAAGAAATAAGTGTGCTGAAAGAATCTTACTACTTGCTGCCAAACGAAGGTTTTTTACCCAAATGAACAATGTCCACTTTGATTTTCTATACTTTATTTTATCTCCTGATGGCTGGGAGTATTGTTTATCCGCCCACAGAATTTGTTTCCGCCGGGCTGACTGTGAACGATATTTTCTCAAAGTGGCTCGGTAGCGAAAGTGAATTTTTTATACAGTATCATATTAGAAGAAGCGTAGTTACGTTATTTGTGCATTCAATGCTTCCTTTAGGTAACAGGCGAGTTGTATTTATTCAATATATTATGATTTATCTTTTATCACTTTCATCTTTGTGTTTTTTTTTTTTTTTTGTTTTATATCTTCTTCAGGCTATATCTTAGGATTAATTTTCTTCGGTCACGTGGACACCGCAAAACTTATCGACAGAAATAATTTTGAATTAATTGTCATTCTCTGTATTGCAATTGTCCCATTGTACACATTGCATAAGATTTGCGAATGGTATATAGAAAATTGGAATAAGCATCCTATAGCACAAAATCTTGCTGCATACAGTAATAACAACACATCATGGACGAGTGTTGCCTCTGATATTAACACGGAATACAGAAGGTTTATTCAAATACCTAATTTATATACTTAGGATCTAGGAACTTAATTAACATTGTAAGTACATGTATGCGTATACTAAAATGAGTATTTTATTTTAGAATAAGTAAAATTATTATTGTCACAAACAGTGTAACTCGTGTCGTAGCAACAGACAATTGGATTATTAAAATTACACTTTATAAAGTACAAGTGGCACATCAGAGTGACACAACTTTGGTTGTAAATAAGAGTGACACTCATTTAATGTCGCCAGCAACTAGAGATCAGATTCAATTTATTAATATACAGGTATGATAATACATTTATATAGTTTTTAGTATAATACATTTTATATAGTTTTATCATGAGAAAATATATACCAAAAGCAATATGATTCAGGTAAAACCCATGCGGGCATTAGCACAGGCATTCGATATAAGACTAAATGCTTTGGATTTTAAGGACTTGCAAGATCAAGTGTCCCCACAAATTATTGTACTACAAAATATAACATTCTATAGAACTTTGCTCGATAGATTTATTGATACTTTTAAAGAGGAAGTTAATAAGAATCCGTTCTACGATACTGCCCAGGTATCAAGTAATTATTTTATTTTGTTATAATTCTCTATATTTTTTGACTTTTGTGTCTTTAACTGTCTGTAAATATCGTCGACTAGGAATTAGACCAATGTATCGGATGTATGCAAGCACCTTCTAATGTAAAGTTGAAGAAATTGTGCGGTAATAGTGAGAGTAGAGGTCCTGATGAATGTTCAACTTGTTACTGCCGCCCAATGTGGTGTATAGATTGTATGGCAAGATGGTCAGTTATTTTTAACTTATATATTTTTATATCTTTTAATTAAAAATGTACGTTAATGGTTTCAATATTGTTATATAGGTTTGCTTCAAGACAAGATGAAAATGAACCAGAAACATGGTTATCTTCTCAATGCACTTGTCCTGTTTGCAGAGCAAAATTTTGTATTTTAGATGTATGTCACGTAAGAATTTTGGATCGTTAACATTACAAGTATAATTGTTTGGGATTTTATATTCTTACAAAATTGTTGGGTCATAAATATCTTCGAGAAAAACCTCTAACAAAATGACCCGTTTTTAAGCGAGAAATTGTGTATTTTTTAAAATTGCTTTTATGTCATAAGTTAATATTACAAATCTCAGATTATTACTAACTCACCTAAGGGCCTGAGCACAATAGAGAAAATATTAGGAATAAGAATTAAAAACAGAGGTTAAATGTAATGTACAATGCGAAAAAACAAAATATAACATTTAAATGTATATAAATATAAGCTGTATATCATTTAACCATGATATACTTCCAATATTTATATGTTATATTTTACTTTTTGTCATTGTATAGTACATTTAACTTCTATTTCTAATTCTTATTCCTAATATTTTCTCTATTGTGGCCCTAAGATTAAACGTAATGTTCGTGATTGTATGTTTTTATAAGAAAATAAATATACTTATGAGGAATGTTATATCACACAAGCAAAGAAATACACAGTTTATTTAGATTTAACGAAGCTGATTAAATATATCGTTTTATTTTCTTATAAGAAACAGGTAATACATTGTAAAATATTAGAAAACATTTTACACACATCCAAGTCAATTTTAAGATACTCAATAATATATACTTTATACAGCTATATTTACATTTGTATGTGTAATATATGTGTTTATTGTATTTAAATACGTGTTCGCTGTTTAACATCTTACTAAAAATCTATGAAAACCAAGACTTTAATGTATCATGAGTCTAGGTGCAATATTCATTGCCATTAGTTCCTGGAAAAGTAACTTCGCCGCATACGGCAATCTGATTTGTGAAATTTGAGTTTTGTTTTTACATCCTTTGCACTCAAATGTGTTGTTTCGTAAATTAGCTATGGCAATTAAACCACAGAAGTTGCAAATGTGAATTCGATACGGATCTGATACTTCGAATAAACGTTCTCTCAAAAATTGCGCCGCGCCATGAGAAATTTGACAGTCTCGTTCCATTTCTCCAAAGCGAAGTCCGCCATCTCTGTAAAAAAAAAAAATGTATATACATATATACAAGTAATTTATATTTGTATATAGCCATTTTTTATATCAATTAAAAATTTTAAAAATTGAAATAGATATTAATTATTACCTAGCTCGACCTTCCATAGGTTGTCTGACCAAAATTTGCACAGGTCCTCTCGCCCTACTATGGATCTTATCATCTACCATGTGCTTCAAGCGTTGGTAATACGTCGGTCCCAAGAAGACTTGGGCATTGATTTTACGTCCTGTATGTCCATTGTACATCACTTCGTTTCCTCGCAATTGATAACCGTATTCTTGTAGGAGCGTGGAAATTTTTTGCACATTCACAGCATCGTTAAACGGAGTGGCGTCACCAATCTCACCTGAAGAATATCGGATTCATAAGTCAGAAAGTGTGCAGATGCACTTTTATGTATTTGTAATTGCAAATTTCCGAAGAATGTATTTACCTTTGTTGGCAGAAACTTTTCCTTGTATACACTCGATCAAGTGACCAATAGTCATACGAGAAGGAATGGCATGGGGATTGATAATAATATCAGGTGTAAGACCTTCGCAAGTGAACGGCATATCTTCTTGCCTGTACTGAATTCCGCATGTACCTTTTTGACCGTGACGAGACGCAAATTTATCGCCAATTTGTGGAATGCGTACACTGCGCACGCGGATTTTGCAAAATTTGTATCCTTCGCTATTCAAAGTCAGCATCACTTGATCAACTATACCAGTTTCACTGTTTCGCAAGAAAGTCGATGCGTCACGTTTCGTAAAACGTTTTGTTGTACTATCCAGCTATATTTATGTATAACAAAAATATTTGTAAATTTTATTGTAAGTCTGAAAATCATAATTTTCTATATAATAAGAAAAGCCAAAGTTTTTCTTAATATTATACCTCATCATCCGTTTCTGGCAGAGTGATCGTTTTTCCTATGATCACATCGTCGCCGGATACTCGAATTCCAGGAGCGATAATCCCGTCATCGTCCAGTTTGTCGTATATCGCGTTACGCATCCCTTGACAAGTCAAACGTGAAGGTTTCTCAAACTGTTCTTCCTGATCGCCGATCTTTTTCGATTCGGCTTCTTTGTAAGACCGGTAAAACACCGATCTGAAAAAGCCTCTTTCAACTGCACTCGCGTTTAAAATAACACTATCTTCCTGATTGTATCCCGTATAACACAGAATTGCGACGATACTGTTTATACCCGCTGGTAATTCACGGAATCTAAGATATTCCATGGACCGTGTGGTGACTAACGGTTTGTGAGGATAATACAGTACGTGAGCCAAAGTGTCCATGCGCACGTGAAAATTTGTAATGTATACACCCATGGCTTGTTTACCCATAGCGCTCTAAAACAAAAATAATATACATAGCTGCTTTTGTATACTCACGTTGAATGAAAGAAAAGAATTTTTAACGAGTCAAACCGATATCTACCTGATAAGTATTTCTAGGACTCTGATTATGATCGGGAAACGGAATAATGGAAGCGCACACGCCTAAAATCATGGCTGGGTGAATTTCGCAATGTGTGTAAGTCGTACAATATGCATATTCTTTTTCTTGTCTAAGATCTTCCGGTGACATAGCTATCATAACTGTTTCTTCCTCCAGTGTATCTATGTATTCTACCACTCCGCTACCTACCAACTCTTGCCACCTGCAAAGCATGATGTAAATTAATGCATGCACACAAAGTTTTACAAAATGGATCAAAATAAGAGAACGATTTTTTTTTTTTTTTAAGTAAAGCGCGTTTACCCGTCGTTGTAATCTCTTTCTTTCAGCATATCAATATGTCTCTTTTTAAGTAACAGATTTTGTCCTTCCACTATGAGCAAAGGTCTGCTGATTCTACCAGCGTCCGTGTATATTCTTATTTCGCGATCTCTGATATCGCGAATCATCGATACTTCTGACACAATGATATCCATCTGCCTTCTCAATTTGCGCAAAGTTGCCATTAACTGATCCGGATCTCTATGAATACCGACCCAGCAACCATTTACAAATATTTTAGTAGCGTCTGTAATGGCGCTCGGTACTATTTCTTCGAGATTCTCCATAGACCATTCTTCCAAGAATTCGAGAATGGGTGATGGCTGCGATCCAACGCTTATATAAGCCATCAGAGCTAAATTTTTTACCAATCCCACAGCAGCACCCTCAGGAGTTTCAGCTGGACACAGCATACCCCACAATGTGTTGTGTAACTGTCGTGGTTTGGCAAGTTTACCGTCTCTTCCAATCGGAGAATTTACTCGCCTCAGGTGCGACAATGTTGACGCAAAAGTTAATCTGTTCAATACTTGCGACACGCCTGCTCTTGCTTGATGTGCTTTCTTCTGATCGCCCCAATTGCCCGTAGCAAGCGAATATCTCAGGCCATCGGTAATAATTTTGGTTTTGATAGCTAGCTCGAGATTAAAGTCTTTTCCTCGATCTATAAATTTCTGCGCGTACAAACGTACCTCTTTCATTAAATTTTTGAACAAGCCGCGAAACAAGAACGCTAGCAGAGGTCCGGCAAGGTCCAGTCGCTTATTACCATAATGATCCCGATCATCCAATTCTCTTCGTCCCAGAGATGCCGATAGTAATCTGTGTACCATGTAACCAAGAAAATAAGCTTTTTTGGTCTCGCAAAAATCGCTTATGCCAACATGCGGCAGCATTTCTTTTTGTAAAATTTCTCTGGCGTATTTGATTCGCTTTTCTTTGGTCACGCCTGGTTTAGCACCTCTGGTGCCAATAAAATTTAGAGCGACATTCTGTTCTTGTATAACAAAAGCTTCGTCCAAAGACGGCTTGACCATTTCCATCATTTCAGGATCGTCGAAATCGTAAATTATGTGTTCAAGAATGTCACGATCAGCCACAAATCCAAGAGCTCGGAAAACAATCATAATGGGTATTTCTTGTTTGATGTAAGGGATAATAGCAATTATGCGTTGACCTATGGCTGACTTCTTGATACTAGCTCCGCTCTTGGCCATCATATTAATCCATAAGGTTGAAGTAGGACGAGAGCTATGTTCCAAACAGGATCTGATTTCTGCCTTATATGCATATTTACCATCTTTCATGCTGAACACATAAACAGTATTTGTTGCCATTTTCTCTTGTGCTATAAGAACCTTTTCAGATCCATTTATAATGAAATATCCGCCAGGATCTAACGGGCACTCATTTAATTCTGTTAAATCACGATCAGATAAGCCAGCAAGCAAGCAATATTTTGACCTCAACATAATTGGTATTTTGCCAATAAATGTTTTCTGATGTTGCGTTTCAACGCGATCTTCTCCATCTTTACCATCTTTTACTATCGTCTTGGTGATATCGACGTATAGTGGAGCAGAATATGTCAAATTTCTCAATCTGGCTTCATTAGGCATCATAGGGGATGGTGCGCCATCCTTTTCCCAATGAGTCGGTTTAGATAAATAAATCTGCTCAAATTTCAATAGATGTCTCACAGGATTTTCTATTTCGCCTGTGGTATGTTGCGCTTCTGCTTGTAAGTCAATTTGCGGAGAATCTTCAACTATACGTTGAACAGACATTTCAATGAATTCATCAAAACTATCCAATTGCTGTCGTACAAGTCCTTTTTCATCAAAGTATGCATTGATAAGAATCCAACAAGCTTCTTGCCATAATTTGGATGAAATTTCTTGTGCATTTTCATTCTCATATTGATCTAGGAAAAACAAGTAGCAAATCACAAATTTGGAAACAAAAAAAGGTTTGTCGATAGTATCGTGCATTTAACTCCGTGACTTTTTTTTACAATTTTATTGCAAAAATCACAAATTAGGGTTAAGTTTCTAACAATTACTTCAAAGTGTTACGATATACTTAGACAATTAACGTGCGTGTGTGCAACTGTAACTGTAGAATATTTTTACATATCAATTTGCAATAATCAGAACAGGATCACAAATCACGATATAAAATCTTATTTTCTCTGCTAAACTTGTTATATGGCGATATAGTATTTATGTAAATTACTTACTATCCTCCCCGTCAAATATGCTCATTTTTGCTCGGCCTTTTTCAAATTCTTTGAAGATTCGCAAATTCAACTACTATTTCCGACGCTGTTCAATGTTCGATATTTAACATTCACTGTCGCCACTACAAACGGCTTCTTCTTCGTTTTGGAAAATAAAGGGGAAAGTTTCAGCGCCACATGCGGTCAGAAGATCTGTTCTTTTTACCTGAACTGATTGCACTAGTTCAGAGTTCATCTTTCTCACTCCACATTGGAAGAAGAAAGATAGAACTGATCCTACCTTGGTTACTAAAATGCTATATTTCACGTCACGTGTGCTATAGTTTGCGGTTACCAGTGTAGGATTTTTGAACGTACCTCTAAATACTGACAACAGTAATAACAGTTAAAATTTGGCGTGAATCCTGTTCAATTTTATCTTTGATTAAACTATATGTTACAGAGAAAAAAGTATACGTATAAACTAGTATAATCATGACTTTAGATATAACAGCGATGTTAAAAGAGCCGAGAATGATAAAGGTTTGCGCTCCGATGGTTAGATATAGCAAGTGAGTCAGTTGAGATGTATTTTTTAAAAGAGTTATTTGTAAAGTGTTAATATTGTTTTTTTTTTTTTATAAAGTATTTAACGTGCTTGTATTTCATCGTAGATGTTTTAGGCATATTTTGATTATGTTACTATTACCAGGCTACAATTCAGAACACTTGTAAGGCGTTATGATTGCGACTTATGTTTTACTCCCATGATCTTAGCAGATTCATTTGTGCAATCTGCAAAGGCTAGAGATAATGAATTTACTACTCATGCAGAAGATAAACCACTAATTGTTCAATTTGCAGCTAAAACTGTAAATGATTTCGTGAGTGCTTCTGAAATGGTTGCACCGTAAGTTTGCAGATAATATACATACACATAATATACACATGTATAATGAGAATAATATATTCTCTATCACTTTTTAAAGTGAGATAAGATATAGTTACTTTACTATCTGTATCTTATAATTAACAGGTATTGCAATGGTGTAGATTTAAATTGTGGCTGTCCCCAGCGCTGGGCTATCAGAGAAGGATATGGCGCTCATTTGCTAACAAAACCAGAACTTGTAAGCGATTTGGTACATCAGGTCAAAAATCGTATACCAGAACCATTTACTGTTTCGGTAAAGATACGTTTGCTGAAAGACATACATAAAACAATAATGTTGTGTCAAACTTTAGAAAAGGCTGGCGCGTCATTTATAACAGTCCATGCAAGAACTCCTGAAATGCGTAACGAACCCATTAACTTAAACAGTCTTAAACTTCTTAGAGATTATGTACAGTTGCCTCTTATTGCAAATGGCGATGTGAGAAATTTAGAAAGTGCTCAGATTCTATTTAAAGAATCCAAATGTAACGGAGTAATGTCTGCTAGAAATATTTTAAGTAATCCTGCATTATTTTCGGGACATTCTGTTACTCCGCTTGTTTGTGTTCAAGATTGGTTAAATATTACCTCAACTATACCAACTGAATTTCATTGTTTCCATCATCATCTAGTATTTATGTTGGAGAAAATTTTACCAAGAAAAGAACGATTAGTATTTAATAATTTGCAAAGCAAAACAGCTGTTCTCGAATTTCTGAAGAATTATTATAATATAAGACCACAGGTTCAATTTAATTCACTGAAATTACTTAAGTGTGAATTTAATAACTCTTATATAAAGCAAACAAAGGAATACACTAATTACTGGGAAGATGATACATCTAGTAATTTTTTAGGAAATATATTCAATACAGATTCATGAAAACATAGTGGTTTTTTTAGAAATTTATAATTTTACAAAGTTACTTTTTTATATTTCTTAATATATATGTGTATAGAAATAAATAATGAGATTAGCAGAGGAAGTGAATTAGAGAGGAGCCTAAGAGCAACCATGTGTTGGGATTTTGGTCCGATGTTTGGTGAGTATCTATACTATAGAGTATCTATACTACTATTTCTAAATTTTAATATCGTGGAAATTGTGCTACTTTTACAAATTTGTAAAAAGAAGAAAGTGTTCTATATGTGATGTTCTTTTTTAAATTATATTTGGAAGTTAATTTAATTGTGTTTAAGTGCATTTAACCGGTAAGCATTAATGTTATTTAATTCTGACGTAGTCTCTCAATTGAATTTTTAATTAAGTGATTGGTTGTTTTTATGTCTCTATTTTTATATTAAAGAAAAACAATTTGTATTATAAAATATATTTGTAAACACATTGTGTGACATGTAAAGATCTAATATAAATATAAACATTTATTTTTATTTGGCTGTTACAGTTATGTATATAACATTTATTTTGTAATATATGTGATCAAGATTTTATAAGGTATAGATATACTTGATTTTTTTATATCTTTGCTAATGTAGTATATTGCATTGTATACATAAACAGATGAATTTAAGGTCACTACACTTTTATATTCTTAAACAATACAAGATATTTTGTACATAAAATATTAAGTTTATGTTAACCATATAATTGCTGAATTATATAATACACATAAATTATATACATAAACACACACAAGTGTGTGTGTATAATATTCTATATATATTTCTACTTAGAAGAATTTACATTAATGTAAGCATTTTTAATACACTTGTGATAATATATCTGTGTAATAAAATTATACGAGAAAAAGTAGTTATATATATGTATATTTAAAAGTAAATAATTTTTATGCCATATTTATCCATCGGCAATAGGATTACCCTACAACAAAGTAAGATATATATACATAATGATTGTAGAAACATAATAGTTGTATTATGTTTTCTGCATTATAATGTAATATTACTCAGCTTACTTACCCATTCTTTTGCCATAACCAGAACTGTTATATGATTTAATTTTGGCCCAATTAGTGGATTCATTTGTGCCATATAGCAACATAACCAGCTACATAAAATTGTCAGTTATTTATTATAGAAATAAGGAAATATTAAGAAATCAAATGCAGTGGACACTTACAATAACCAGCACGTAAACCCTGTCAATATCAACAGAACTTGAAGTATCCTAGAAGATACAAAATTTTATAATTAAATTTTTTTCATACATGTATGAATTTCTTATACACAAAGCACGAAAATGAGCAGTTGCGTTAAAGGTCTACGTACCCACGATTTGGTCCTTTTGGAACGAAGAGTGGCAGAGCAATTCCTAGAAAAAACACCGCACCCCAAAGAAATGTAAATAGAATAACAGGTAACGCGGACGCTCCCATTTTTTGATCTTATAATTACACTGTTCGTGAGACGTGTTGTGGAACGAACTTACGCGAGCTGAAAGAGCGTAAAGATCACGTGAAAAAGGTTTCGTACATACGGTTCACGTGACACATCGATTTGACGGCAACCATCTGATGCAAGATCCAAGTCGCGCTACAAATTCTTTGAAGTGTCACTGTTTATGTTCCGAAAGAAAAGAGTCGTCGTCTTGTCAACACTCGACGTTGATTTGTTGATTATAAAAGTGATAAGCCAATCACGTTCAATTGCTCACAAAACAGTGAGTTGTTCTGCTGAAACGTAGCGTTCGGCTAGCTTTTCAGCTACGTACACAAGGCGACACTGTGCAACACAGTGTCCACTAGCGTGAGTGAGACACAATGATATGCTCTTTCTCACACTAATGGACATTTGTGTCACACAAATGTCGCCTGTGCGCGTAGCCGGAGAAAGCTCCCTTTATATTCGAGATTGCCTCAAGTCTATAATCTTCAGATAAAACATCGGACTTGATGAATATCCGCCTTGAAAGCCGCGAGGAGGTAGATTGAACCACGGCGGCGCGTGGTGCGGCTTTTTGCGAGAACGGCAGCGCAATCTGACGTCACTGAACACGGTCAACACACTTGACTCTCCGCTTCGTCCCTGCCGTCCCTCGTGGTCTCTCCGCGTTTCATCGTTGCCAATTGTCGTCTCACGGGCCGCAGCCACTTCCGTAGCACAGCTTGCGATAGTTGCGATGAGTTTAGTTTCGAAAACAAGGGACCACCCGGCTGTCGTGTCCGTCGTTGTTGCACGTCGCGGTCGTCATCGCGCGTCTCGAATATAAGATAATCGACGCATAGCGAAGACGGTAGACGAGAGAAATTTGATGTTGGTGTTTTGGAATGTGTGTTGTGTACAATTTAGCCCGTCTAACCACTTTGGTTCTCAGCCGTTTTGCACGCCCGTCTTGCGTCCGCTCCTCTATTTCTCTTTAGAACACATGCACACATAACATACATATACATACATGTATATATACACGTAGAGAGCACACGGATACGTACATGTATGTATATATATGTGTGTGTATATATATATATATCTCACTGTTTTCTCTCTCCGTTCCCACCTCTCAAGCCTCGCCGCTTATTATCGTTGAGAAAAAACGTGACCGAGGCAAAAAAATGGACGCTCTTCGGGAGCAGGTGATGATCAATCAGTTCGTGTTGGCCGCGGGCTGTGCCAGGGATCAGGCGAAGCAATTGCTGCAATCGGCGCATTGGCAATTCGAGGTGAGGATAGGAACAGAACGAATAGACAAAGCGCTAAAACTAGACAGGGACAGAAAGAAGGGAAATGTTTATATATATATGTATTACGCGGCCTTTACCGGTTTGGTGTAAGTGTATACTTGTGTGTGTGTGTGTGTGTGTGTGAGAGATGCACCGCGTGCGCACCATTCAAAACATATACGTGTGTAGCGGTAACTCTTGCCCAGACGTTTACTGCGTAAACAAAGCGAGTAAAATGGCCGATGGTGTCGGCTCTCAACGTTACGGAATGCTTTGTCAACGGTAATTCTGTGGAAAAAATAACGCGGTTTTGCCGATCGATGAAAACTCGCTTTTCTCTCTCTTTCTCTCTCTCTCTCTCTCTCTCGCTGTATTTTCAGAATAATCGCGGGACAACAATCGCGGTAGATAATATTTCTCAGTTTCGATTGTCGGTTTTCAAATTTGTTTCGAGAGATCTCGTCGAAGGCTTCTTCGGTGCTGTGTTGCGACAAAAAATATAAAAACTACGCGATACAATTCCTGCTTCTCTGGATTTTAAACAACTTGAGAGACTTGATAAGTCTCGCGCGCGCGCGCACACACATGCGTTTATCTTGCGGATTTAATGATAATATTTATACGATGATTACATCACCGTTGCGCAATAGAAAATAATTCTATAATTCTGCGTGGTTCCTGTGTGTTTTTACACGCGTTCTCTCTCTCGCAATAGTTTTACTGTTGGTGGTATGACTGACACACACATACATGTGAATGTTGATAATATTACGCACCGTTTATTGCCATTGTAAGCCAATAATATCGATCTCTCGGGAAGTGCGTAGCACTTTTTTTTTATAGCACCATTATGTGGGATTATCTCGTTCTTGCGAGTGATGCATAAAAACATGAAGTTTTTTTATTTAAAACAACACTGTGTGCGTGTACACAGGCGATGTTGGTGTAGCAAAAGCAACTCTAATGTAAAGTTGTTGAGATTGGCATCTCGCGCGAGAGAACGTTTTCCTCTTGCAAACTACTATTTTCGTGTGTAGTAATTCGTTTGTTTACGTTTTCAATAGTAATAACGCGACAGTATCCATATAAGAGACGCTGCTAAATAAAGATATCTCGCGTAACCTTTTCTATTCGAGCGAAGCTCCCATTTGTCGTGGCTATATCGAATTATGACGTCAGAAGCGGGAAATAAACTTTCGTCGTGCAATTTGTATGAAGAAAAAAACACTAGTGTTTTTTTTTTTTTTTTCACACGTTTTATCACTCAGCGTTTCTTTTCGGTCGCACGTACACGCGCGCACGATAAATTATGCAAATCTGGATAAGAATCGTCTATTTTTTCATTGAAAATTACGTCACGCGGAGATTTCGCAACGCGCGATTTTACCAATCCGTACGCGTTGATCGACGCGTGACATTTGAACGGACCAGTTTGTTGCGATATAAAATTGCGCGGGAAAAAAAATTCATGTTTCTCGTTTCTGACGTCATAATTCGATACGATCGCAACGCGACTGTTTGAAAATGGCTAAATTTTGTAAGCAAACTTGGAACCATTTGAAGATAATGTTTGTTCGACATTTTAATCTTTTGTTGGAAGATCGACTGTGTGTGCAAGACGTTTGTCGACTGATGACATTTTTGCCGAACAATTGTACTTATGTGTTTCGTTTACGTAACACGAGTTGATCTCAGATCTCACACGGTTGTGTCTCGCGCTAAATGTATGTATGCGCATCAGCACTGAACGACAATACAGATCGATACGTGTGTGTGCGCGCGCGCGTGTGTGTGTGTGCGAACCAAAAATTCAAAAGGATTTTAGTTTTTCAAATCTCAGAGTCTAACGGTTGGACCGATTGAATTCGCTGATAACTCGGTCGATATACCTTACATAGCCTACTTTTTTATCCCTTCTTTATCATTTTTTTATCTTATCTTTTCTTAAACATGCGCTCGAAATTCGGCTTGCTTCTTGTATCATCTTGTTTGTCAGAAGAAGTTTTAAAGAAGAAAAAGTGAAGAGCAAAACTCTTTTCGACAAGTTTAGGCCCCAGAATCGACGGTGACTTTCAAACCGAATGCATCAAAGAACCACGGTCGTGTGTCTCGTGCCAAGTTCACGCGCAACGTTTATTTTAACAGAAATTAACACGGAGCTAAAATTCACAGACACTGATTCTTCGTCCCTCTGATTCAGAAAATTTGTCGCGATCGATTCTCAAGTTCGTCACGTTGCGCACAATGACATTTTTTTTTTTTTGTATACAATATAATTTATACAAATATATGCCATCTCTTAATTGAGTATTTATAAATGGTCGTGCTGTTGCAGACCGCTCTCAGCATCTTTTTCCAAGAAGCGGCGATACCTTCTTGCGCACAGGGAGCAGGCACTCACTTCGGTCAAGTAAGTCTCTGGCATCGTTTATTTCCTACTTGTGAAAAGCATGCGAGGCGGACCATGACTATATATTCGTACAATCAATACAACAGCACCCAAATCTTCGTAACTTAACGCAACATGTATTTCTCGAACGGATGTTTTTTTTTTCTTTATATTGATCTCGAAAACCAAACGATATTTCGATTGCTGAACTTATTATTATTAGGAAAAAAAGAGAAAGTAAAAATCGCATTCACAAAAATTACTAACAAAGTTTTCGCAATTGTCGCTTATTGGACGAACAACGTCACTGAATCAGATGTCCTATGTTTGCAGATTACACCGTGCAACACACCAGCCACTCCGCCGAACTTTCCGGACGCCCTTTTGGCATTTTCGAAAATGTCAGCCGGTGAAAAAACTCCATCGGGTAAGAACGTTGGCCGTATACAAAAATGAAAAAAATCAACTCGACTTAAAGAGACCGAGTTTTTTTTTTTTTTCTTTGTTTGCGACATGACGTGCGATTGTGCGTGCAACGTCCCGGAAAAAAAAAACAAACGAGAGATTTGTCTTGTGAGTGAGAGATGTAAAATTTTTTGTTTTTCTTGTTTAATATCAATGTTTGCAGGCATGTCTCCGAATCAAAACGGAGTACAAACGACAGGACTTACGGCGGGTGTCGCTCAGCATCTTGCCGCGGGCGGCCGGTGCAGCAGCAGCGCGTCCGGCAATACACAAACGATGCAACAACAGACGCAGCCACAACAGACGCAATTCGGTCTGGGCGAGCCGCAGAGATAAAAGTGACTGTGCTAGTCGACACAACAAACGCGCGAACGCGAAATAAAGATTGCGCGCAATAAATGTCTCCGTAGTAACAGTAAATATACGCTCCGAGAAGATGCGGAACGAGAAGAGACACAGGGAGAAGAGAAAACGTGTACAAGGGAAGAAGGGAGGAGAAACCTTCTTTCCTTTTTTTGAGAAAACGTATGTCTCCCGTAAAAAAAGTGATGAATGACGGAAGAGAAACTGCGAATGAAGTCGCAGTTTACACACACACGAGAGGAATATCTTTACAGAGAGTTGAACTAGATCGCTATTGAATATAGCCACGTTATCCACGCGCACACACACACACACACACACATACACTCATATACGTACACACGTACATTATATTAGGGACATAAGTATGCTGTGTTTATCGTACGAATGCGTGAATGAACCCAAGTGTCGATTTCCTCAACGACGCCCGTTTAGTGTGATATCTCTCGATTGCTGAAAAATTTCCTTATTGGTTTTTTCGGAAAAATTCGGCAGAAAATCGACGTCTTTGAATAGTCTAACTGTTGTGTATATATATACATATATATATATGTGTGTGTGTGTGTGTATATATATATATATGTATATGGTCGATAGAAAAATGCGAAATGAAGGAGAAGAGGTGAGAATCATTCAGACAAACGGGAAAACACAAATTTTCTTTCCTTTTCTCTGACGCACCGGGACCATACTGTTGTAAGTCCGAAAAACGATCAGACGTTAAAGGATTCTAAAACAATGACGTGAAAACAGCTCCGATTCGATATTTCCCCTCAGTCTTGTGCATCGTATAGATACGCGGCGTTTTCTCTAGGATTCACCGAATACCATTTAGTAGACTAGACTCTCATTGTCGCTCTTTCACGCTCTACAGTACAAAACAAGAGGAAGAAGAATACAATTATCTCAATTTTGTCGTAAACTTACTTAGAAAAAAAAAAAAAGCTTACGTCGCGCGCATGTCTTCGCGAAAAACGACGCGAAACACCTCGTATTTTCAACGTACTATATGGAGAAACAAAAAGCGCGTACGCTTTGGACGCTTATGCGTCCTTTAAGCATCAGTTTGTTTTCCTCGTTCTTTAAATGTAGAACAAAGACAGATTGACGCTCAAAGCGCGTAAGCGTCCAAAGCGAACGCGCTCACTTAAAGTAACATTGCATGACGAATATATTTATTTAACGATAGAAATTTCAATAATCCTCTGTTGAAATAGCAATGCTTGCAGTATGTGTTGTTCACGCGAACACCGATGTGTTTTCTTTCCGCATAGGACACACAAATATAAGCCGTACCTATATATATATTTCAATGATATATATATATATATATAAATTACCTATACGCAAGGTTAAGAGAATTATATAATAAATGATCTATTATGTAAAAATTGTAAAAAAAGAATATTATTCCAGATTATGTAATGTTTATTTTACATAATAATTAAATAATTACGTAAGAAGTAAACTGAATAAAACAAAATCCGCGAGATTTTGGAACGAATAGATTGTAACACGGTGTCCGAAGAATTGACTCTTCCCGAGAAGCATCTCGATATACATACATATATATATATATACATCTTTTTCTTGCCTACTACGAGAAAGAGCAGCGAGAAAATCTCACTTCAACAACTTTCTCGGCTATTCTCGAATAAAGCAGCTAGAGATTTATATGTAACTGCCTGGTTGTGTATATGCAAAACACACTAGACTTCTCACACAAATGCTCTTGTATGGCAGCTGGCAATATGATTCTACTTGATATCACAGCATATTGATATCCAAGTTATATCTTTCGTTATATACAGGATACTTGTGCAGACCTCCGTGTATCACCCGTTAATGGAAGATTCTTATGCTGAAGATTTTAACCCCGAATAGAACCGGGTTCCCATCGATGCCTCCGAAAGCACAATCTCTCTCTTAGAACAAGTTCGTACAACCACTTTAATCGCTTAGAACTTATTAGATACATATACGAGTATTATCACATTATAATATTTGCCTTCTGATATATAAATCACAGAAATCTGCCATTAATGAGTGTGACGCGATATGGGACATGTATTTCTCCTAATATATATGGATGGTCCTTTCTAAAATATACACATGTTTTTTTTTTTATGTATCGCAACAAATTTAGTCTGTCTTCTTTTTGCACTCTTTTGGGAATTTTTTTCTCCAGTTTTTTTAACTTTTGATTTAACCCTTTGAGTGTGGCGCGCGTGTTACATTAAAACAGCTCCTTCTGGTCGATATTAAGCGGCGTCTTTCGGAACTGAATCAAGTGAAAAAAATATATTCGTTTAAAAAGAATGCGATAACATCTTCAGGTTTCACTAACAAGAATTTTTCAAGAATATTAACGACTGTCATCAATGAGATTATCATCAATTTATTCACGCGTACGCGCCAGTACAAAAAAAAAAAACAAACAAACGTCATACATTGAACGCGGCGCTTGAAGAGTTGATAATACACATTTTTATAATCGATATATCTCGTATGTGACGTGAAAAATTATTTTAAAAAAATAGAACGCGATATATTCGATTTTTCTATTTGTAACGATTTCCTGACGAAGATACTAAAAAAAAAACTCTAAACTTACGTAAGATAAATTAGTTTTTGATTCTTAATCGAGTATTCAGATAAAACTTATCACACTGTAAACAGGTTTATGTAAATAATTATTAGATATTAGTCGTAAGAAAAAAATCTTTATATGTACGAAGTATTTTTTCCAATGAGATTTACTTTCCTTTTTACTATTTTGCTCATGTTGTGTAATATGTACAGGTTGTATTTTAAGATGGTGCAGACTCATCGACGAGTAGCGCGAGGGTGTTTTATTATGTTGACGTTATATACGATTACTGTTTTTTATTTGACTAGTATAAATAACAAAGTTGTGTATATAATTTTGGAAAATTAAATAAAATATTAATATAATATATGTATATATATATATATGTTTATATATATATATATATGTATGATACACACACACACACAAACGATATATCGTAATATATAGAAAATATACACGATATATCGTACGATGGTGTTTCTAATCTCACGATCTAGCTTTAAATGACATCTTTGTACTTTAGACTCGAAGCAGCCGTTGTCAAAAAGATGTATCACAAAAACAAAAAAAGCCGTTCTCTATACATATATGGTTTACTTAAATGTAACACGACAGCGTATGCGCGTGCTCTTGTGGAATACAGTCTCGAGAATTTTAAATATTTTGTAGAAACGTATGTACATTTTGTGTAAAACCATTATTACATGTGAAACATGGCGTGTCTCAATCTTTGGAACGTTTATTCTGGCGGTATTTCGACGCTTTCACCTAGACCCGACCATCTGTCCGGCACCGGCAAGAAGTACCGATGCATCGCGGCTATAAATCTGGCGCGATACTCTTCCGGCGATATTATGGTCGGCAGTTTACCCTGACCTCCCAGTATACCGGATTTCTTCACCATGGTCTCCAATTTTTTGTCCCAAGTAAACGTTCTTATGTAATCTGTCGAGAAAGAGACAAATTAGATTTGACGGAGAGGAAAGACACTAGCATGACAAAAAAAACTAATGCGGATCGAAGAGAAAGAATATCGTTCTCTCACCTATTATACCAAGCACAAGTTCGTCGGAATTCGGTTCCAAGCCCACCAGCAACGAGTAATCCATTACAGAATTATTCGCCAGAAATTTGGTGTCTTGTTCGATGGCGCGGTTTAATACCGCTTTGGAATGCGATCGGATGTACAAAGGAGAATCACAGCTCACTGAAATGCGAATGCTTCGTTCGAATGCGTTGCGAATGACAAATTATTTGCAAATAAATCGGAAGACATACTGTTCAATAGATTCTCGTCCAGCAATACCAGTTCACCCTCGTGACACGTGTCGTCCGGATTCACCAGACGATTTCGCACGGATCCCTTCAGATCGAATTTGTCGGTGATAACACGATTGTAGAACAGATTTTCCATCACCAGCACGCTGGTACGAAGCGCCGCGTTCGTTGTGTTGTTCTTAAACGATACTCTGTATACACCGACTATTTTGCCCAGTAACGTCGGCTGTTTGGTTTGCTGACACTTTTCCATGTAAGCAAAGTAATTAGGCGCAAAATCGAGGAAGATCTGCATTTCGAGCCGTGACATTTCTTTTATAATAAATCTGTCGTCTGTGGAAAAGAGAAAGATGTGGATGAGAAAGAGACGTGCTGATGTAAATGTGATTGTTAAGTGATAAAGTAATCAATGTTAATTCGTACCTCTGCTCTTGCAGAAAGCGCTACCACTTTTCCCACCTCTCGCCGCCCATTGCACGCTCCGGCTTAGACTTCTTGTGTAACCATCTTCACCGCAGGGAAGAACGTTTTCTCGCAAAGCGGCGAATTGCGCGGCAAAGTATATTCTGCAGAAGAAATTGGTCGTGATGTCGTTGAACTGCACTTCGATGTAATTTTGCTGCTTAATCGCCTTCTTGTCGTCGTCAATGTCGGTACCGACGGCGCCGCTGTTCGATTCCACGCTCGACATGGTCTTGTCAGATTCGATGGGGCTGCTAGTCGGATTCGGACTGTTGCCGCGGAAGAAGGAGAGCACGGACGGTCGCTTGAAATCACCCGATTGCGCCAGATCGAGCGTATTGTCCTTACCTTCGGAAAATTTACGCTTACTCAATGGACTGGAGTTGAAGTCCTGTCCTTTCGTTGCACGCGATAATTCCTGCAGCGCGTGTTTGTAATCGTGCGAGTCCAACGCATAGGCAATTATGGACGAAGGTTCGGACTCATAAACCACTATGGGAACCACCGATCTGCACACAAGTCAGTTTTTTTTTTGTTCTTTAGATATCGTAAAACAAAAGGAACGCCTATCAAAAGAAGACAAATAAAAAATTATTAAAAGTATGAATTACGTTATATACCCAAGCGGCAGCAGGTAATGTTCCAAAGGCCCTAGAGGATTTGTTATTGTATGATTCACAGAAACGGAAGGCAGTAACTGCGAGAGAATTGTCTTTTTCTTCTTCTTCTTATCAGGTATTTCGTCCGACGATAAAGGAAGAACATCGGAATGCGATCTTTGATGAACTTTAGGTGAATCCTGAATAGTAACGACCTCGTCAGGATTATTGGTGGATTCCAAGAGCTCGTTGTCGGAAGTCTCAACTGTCTCGGACTGGAAATCGTTCTGCGCCGCTGCGATCGCATCGACAGCGTTGTAATCAGCCGACATGGGACTCAAGTCCTCGATCTGTGACTCCGATGCGGTATCCTCGGTTATGTATCCATCAGTATCGACCACGCTGCCGGCTGTCATGGATCGCTCAGTGAACCGACGCGGTCGCTCGTCCTTCTTTTTGGCTGATAATTCCAACAGTTTGCCGTTCCACGTGAACACAGCTTCCGCGATGAGTCGTTTAAGAATCACAATGCCGTCCTCGATTCTGAACATCAACGCTTGCACTTGTCTCTCGGACGTTTTACCCTCGAGTTTCTTGTTCTCCAAAGTTGGCGACGTCAATTTGAGCTGAATCTCCTCGATTTTATTCTTGAAATATTGCTGGTCCTTGGCCAACTGTTGTTTGGCAACATTCAAATTTTCTACGTCCGTTTGAAGACTCATCAATTTCTCTTTGATAGCCGTGAACACCTCGTCGCCCTTCAGCGCTACGCTCTTCATTTCCTCGATCACGTTGGCGTGTTGCTTTGGATCGTAAATGATGTTAATTAGCGGCGGTGGCAGCGAAATCTCCCATTGCGAGATCTTGCTAAACTTGAACACGGCAAGCATATTTTTGCGCGTGAAGTATTGATAATGATCGTGATGCAGGGAATGCTGACACGCGTCCATACCGCGTTTTTCGTAAATACCGCCGTAAAAGCGTAGCTCAAGGTACTTGGCGAACGACAGGCACCACGTGTCGCCCGACATCGGTACCACAGGCGATACGCTTTTGCACACCACGCACTTACTCCACATTAGGATCTGATCGGCATTTTCCTGCACGAACGGCTCGGAATTCATTTCGCTGAGACTTATGTGAACGCATCCACCGTCGTGCGTGAAACGTCTCACATGTTGCGAGATCTGCGCGCGGCAAGCCTGCGCCGGACATTTGTAATCCATCGTCAGGCAGTAACGTTCGAGAAAACGACCGAGCGCGATGTCGTTCTGGCCGTACATAGTCATGTTCACAACCCAGGGATTTACGCAGAAAGCGGGCGTGTCGTTGTCGGTGTGCGAGAAACTGCAGAACAGCACGGACAATCGTTGATGGTTGTTGGGATCCAAACAATCCGGCCAGGAGGAAATCTGTTGTTCGCTACTTTCAACTGACGCCGATGGATGCTGTATTTTATTCAGCAACACGTTATGAGTCGGGTAAAGCCGGCTTCCGCGCGCACGAAAATCTGCTAGAAGGCTCTGCACCTCACGGCTGTCGATATCCGTGGTTAGACGCGCCTGAACGAACGCATGCTGCGACTTCAATTTCACGTTCATTCGCTCGCGCGAATTCTCAGACGCAACCTGATCGTTCACGCTCACGCTGTTTGTTCTCGTTTCCTTGACATTGTCGAGGAATTGTTCCGAATAATAGATCTCTCGCGGAAAGAAGCTTCTCAATACGCAATTTCGGCCGAGTTCGGTTTCTAGATAAGGTATGGAAAATTTTAAATACGGCGACACGCTCAGTACAGTACCTTCGAGCGCTTTCTTAAATTTGTTGAACAGCGGGAAATCGGTAACGCTCAAGCGTTGATCGTTCGAAATGGAACGATTGAAGACGTCTTCGTCGTCCTCGTTTAAATACTGATGCAACGGATCGCTTCGGTCGCTTATGAATTCCCCATAAATACGTTTCTCGTCGGAAGATATCTTATCCTTCAATTTTCCCTTGTCGACGAGTTCTTCGGTCTTTTGTTCGACGCACATATCCTTACTCATGAGCGATGTCACGACGTTATGTTCCTCTGCGGTATTAGAAATTACATCCGAAATATCGTTCTTGGATCCATCGTCGTTACGTGAAACTACATCGTTCTCGCAAGAAACGGAGTCCGTATCTTTCGAGTCATTTGAACAGGGTTTCGATTTTGTCTTAAATAATTTTAAAGTGTCATAAGGATCAGAATCCTCCGCCAGCATCGATGACACGTCTCGTAAAGAATTTGCGCCTAGAATATTATTGGAGCAATAAATATCTTCATCCTTTGTGGACACGCTCAGATTGTTTGACTTGACATTTCGTGCCACTTTCTCGCCGTCAACTGTACTTCCGTAATCTTGATTTATTTTCGGTTTCTTCGCGTCTTTTGCGTGGGCGTCTTCGTCGATAACGTGATTTTCAAGATTCTTGGAATTGTCGCTGTTCGACGTGTCCTTTTGCGACGTTTCGTCCAGAAAGGAATTATCTTTAAGCAATGGTGGTTTGGCAAACTCGTCCATAAGAAATGACTTTTCCAGACGCCACGAGTAAGCCGCGAAAATCATCATCGATGTGACGTTCTTCACTCTTTTCAGTTCATTTTGCGAACCACCGCGCAATAAAATTGTCGCGCCCAAATGCGGTTTCACACAGCCTTCGAAATACATCAGCGTCTTAATATCTAAGAAACATAATTTCAAATTTGTTAATTGTGTCAGAAAGCAAAATTAAACTAAAATTTTGTATTTTGTATACGTGTTGTGCTTTGCTTACTTCGCTCATCCGAAAAGTTTCTTAAATAAAACTTCTTGCACGTGCCGAGCATGTATCTCGCACTTATATGCGCATCTATAGTATTTACAATAGTAGCACCCGTGCATCGCGCCACTCGCTTGAGTACACTCAGTTTCACGTTCAAGACAAGCGTTACGCCGCACTCTCTGAGTCTATCCTGAGCTAATCTGGCTACGGATCGATGTACGAGTACCACGTTTGGGCCAAGAGCAGTGATTCTTGCCACTGTGTGTCCCAGATATTCGCTCTCCTAAGAATTTGTTCTAAAGTAAATTAAAAAATAAGAAATTGTGTGATCAATCGAGAATAACGAAAAGTCGAAACTCGTACCTGCAACATCACAGGCTCCAAACTTATCAATTTACCCTCTACACGCTGATACATCAGTCCGCATTGCAGCAATAAGATTTTTGGATGCGCGATCATGGCGTCCATGCTGCGGTGAGCGATATTTTTACTGCAAACCACACCGGACACTATTTGACAATCGTCTCTGCTACCGCCGGGACACTTTTTGATTTGTACGTATTGTCGTATATCCAGATTTTCGGCATCGTGATTCAAATCCGGTCGAACGTAATCGACTATCTGATGTGCAATCGACAAAATCGTGTTTGACCATGTCTGCGATAAACCTTCTTTGCTAAGAAGCTGCTTGATAAGAGAATCCTCGTGCGCTTTGTATGCAGACCTAGACAAAAAAGTATTGTTGATTTCTCACTTTATTATTAATATATTTATATTTATCTATTTATATTATTAATATTTATTATCTATCAGTATTAAATCAAAGAACTTACGTTAAACGCTCATACGCGCTTAATTCGTCGAAGTTTGATCTTAGATTGGTCGGTCTGTGCCAACCATTCTTTTCTTTGAACTCGTGCACTTGAAGCGTATCGTTTAACAGATCGTCACATAGTTTGAGATTGCAATCGTGCGATTTGAGATTGATCTCTTTCTGCTCGATTACACTGTCCACGGATATCAAGTCTGTCAGATCTTCCGAAGTTGGTCTTTTTAAAGCGACAGTGGATGCTTCTAGATTTAAATCCAAGTAAAAACTTGAACTAGATGACGGCAAACGACCAAAAGATTGCGATTGCGTGTTCGACGGCTTGGTCTCGCTCTCGGAATCTGTAATTAATCGACTGTCGTTCAGCAATTTGTTATCAAGCAATTTTTTATCCGTTTTTTTTTATCGATCTCAATTTGTTAATATTACCGGTAGTTGAATCATGCTGAGGAATAGTCTTTACCCATGCTGGCTCTTGAGCATCGCACATTGTTCGCTTTTCCGTTAATAAATCTATACTTTGCAAAGAAGATAATTGTGCCGGTCTAAATATAGTCGCTGAATCAGTGAATACGCTATCAGCGATAACCGATTCAATGAATCCCGCTTCTAACAATGCCTCGCCTATAGCAGTTGCTTGCACACTAAACAAAATGTTATAAAATTCATAAAAATTTAGTAACTCAATATTACGACTCAGACACATACCGAGTGGCCGCCTTATTTTGAGCTATAATCCAATTCACTAATTCGTTCGCTAAAAAACAATTGTAATAACTTTTCAATCGAATTCGATGTGTTTGCAATTGAATAGCTTGACTAGACCGAAATAATTCCTCCCAAATCATTCTTAAAGAGGCTGAATTTTGCAACACAAGCGATCGTTCGTGCATTGTTAAATAACTATTACTCGATCTGTAATAGACAGATAAACGGATAAGTAAATAGATAGGCGTCACATATACAGGAATATAAAATATAAAAGATTTGTTTAATTTGTACCGTTCGGTGGCATAATTCTCCTCCATGTATCCTATACTTGGCTTTCGGCATATTGACGTTTCATCACCTATGGATTCGTCAGTGTGCTTTCGAGTTAGCAAAGGTGAATCATTTCCATATTTTACTTGGAGATCTTCTTGCAACGCTTTTAAATCTGCTGATAAATCGCTTTTCATGTCAGATGATTGTAAATAAGAAAGAACCACTTTACAACAATATGTACAAACTCTAAGATCCCCTGAAAAAAAAAATAATCTCACATATGTTTGTGGAAATTTATACATATATTCCATATAAAAAGCAACTATTTTATGTTCTTTTTGCTTTCTTAGTTTTGTCTTACCAGTGCATCCCATAATTTTTCCTGGTATGTGATCGGAGCAACACTTTGAACAAAAAATCTGTCCACATACTCGACAGTGATGTTTTCTTCGAAATGTTGTGAATCTCTCACCGCATTCATAACATTGTTTACTCACATTGTCTGCAATCCAGTAACTCCGTAATTGAGAATCTTTGTAAGAGCGCAAATTCTATAAAATAATATAAAAAATGTTTATAAGTTATTGCAACCTTGAAAGCTATTACAACCTTTAAATAAATATAACAACCTTTAGGTAAAATAAAAGAAGTTATTAAAATAATTTTATATCACTTACACTACTTTTTAGTGCTAATATATTACTGATTCGCTTAAGAACATTTGGTAAACTACGGCCTTCAGTGTCTAAGGAAAAATTGATCATGCTGGTACTATCATCATTTGATATTTGTTCTGTGTTCTCTTGCTGATTCCAAGAATCCAAATCAGAGGAACTACATTCATCATTGTTAGAGGATACTGTAGGATCACTGGCGTTTGGAGAATCTAAAGATAAAGATTACAATAATCAGTAATTCATTATAAATAAATATAATCAATTGTAGAAGTTTAACACACATATATTCAATAAATCACATAACCAAACTGTAATTTACCAACATACAGCGAGAACAATGCTATATTGCACAAATATGGCATTGAATTACTTACTTCTGGTGAAGTTGAAAAATCTAGAGAAGAGCGATCCGACAGGCTGGTTTTCCTCAGGACTCAACGGAGCAAATTCCGTGAGTTTTGATGGTGAGTTCATGTTCTTGTTCATTTTCAATGATTATTCATTTTTAAGCTATATATAATTTTCAGCTGTCTTCCTGTATTTACGCATCTGTCGCCTGCTGCTGTCACCTGTTGTCATCTGATTGTCAGTGCATCTTGCAAAAGAGGATTGTAAGGTGTCAAATCGAAGGGAAATTCGTTCTCTGACTAACATATAACTATGATGGGATGCCAAGTTCCATTTTCACTTCGTAATGGAAATTACCAGCGCCTGCGTCGCCGAAGCGAAGGAAAGCTAAACACGAAAGCGAGACAACAATAGACAAGATAAAAAAAGAGAGACGGGTTGTTTGCAAAAAACAGTAGTATTATTCCTCAAAAGCTCTTGTGCCAAAGAGTAACAGTTTTATTGCATGTCAATAGATATTATGAAACATGTTCAATTTGTCAATAAAAGAAACCCCGAAACAGTTTATTTAAAAAATTACGATAGCACAGCAAGGATGACTTATTCTCTCTCTCTTTCTTTATTTTGTGTATAACTGTCTCACTTTGACGCATGAACTTATCGCGGAGAGTGCTGGGAAAGTTCCTAGGACTACGTTGTGTCGCTATTGGCTGTGTCTGTTTTATTTCCGCGCGCATGTGTGAAACACCTCTTGTTCTATATACGCGATCTTTTTTTATATATGTATAATATACATATTCCAATGCATCGTTATTATATTTCTTTTGCTTGCGAGCGCAGAAATAAGCACACGCGCGATCTTAAAAGTGCGATAGCAGTCGCGACTTTCGGAGAAGCGTTAAAGAAAGAAAGGCAGGCGAGTGAAAAGGCGCGCACGCGCGCGAAAGTGAATGAGCGAGAAAGAAGGATAGAGATAAGGAGAGTGCAAGAGAGAGAGAGAGAGAGAGAGAGAGAGAGGCACAGTAAGGGAAAGATTCGAGGATGCGGCGGGGTGTCTGCATCCGTGCGTGAATCACGCTTCAGAAACGCTCTCTCTCTCTTTCTTTCTTTCCCTCTCTCTCTCTCTCTCTCTCTCTCTCTGCTCGCCGTCGTCGTCCTCGAATGCGCCCCGTGTTTGCCGCCACGACATTGACCCGCGTCGTGTGTCGCGCCTCCGGACGCCACCGCCGACGACAGCCAGCAGCAGCAGGCAGCAGTCACCCCGATCGAGCGCAGGGTAGAGAACACTCGGCCGAGGCAGCGTCTCTACGCTGCGCCGACTGAGCCGTGGACAGCCGTGAGTAGGCAACACTCACGAGGAGGTCCCCAAAAGTCGCTTCGATCCTGTCGCTCCAATTTGTACCGTCGTTGATCGCGCCATGACTCGACCCGTTCCAGTTAAACCGATATTGGAAGTTCTGTGATAAAAAGTTATCCTTACGGCGCGCCGCGCGGTGAAAGGATACTCTCCTCGACACTCACGAGTCCACTTCACACCGGGTGTGCCCTTCGAAGAAATCCAGCGAGTGTTGTCCATCTCACCAGAGACTTTTGAAAACGCTTTTTGACAACGACGTTCTTCATCATCTTCCTCGTGGTCGTCGTTGGTCGGTGGTGAGCCGACTTGGAACTGGTTCTTCCTTCAGCGAGGAATTTTTGTGCGATTGAAAGTGAAAGTCCCGACGAGACGCGCGATAAAATATACGTACGGCGAGAACGGGAACACGCGTTTTGTGACGGAACGCGAGTTTTATTAAAGGCATAGAAACGCAGCAACGGAGGATAGACTGGCAACAAAGAAACAGAAGCGGATACAACATGTCAGATGAGGAAGACAAACCTCCTGCACCCCCTGTTCGATTGACATCAAACAGGTATTGCTTGGTATTTTGTTTGTGACATAGATGATTCATTTATGAGATTATCAGATCGAATTTGAGTCTTATTTTTACCCCTAAGTGTAAGAAATTGAATAAATATTACTTTAAGCTGTTGTTTTTACTGCAAGTGTTAAATAAGGAAATAAAATCGTGTATGAAACTGAAAGAATTTGATAAGATAACACATATAGTTAGATAACTATTGATTTGTTAATTGTAATTTGAGGCATGTCAATTTGTATTTCCAGGGGAGATTCGGCGCCTAATTTACCAGTGGACATGCGTCCCTTGCCTAAAGAACCGGACTCCGATGAACGCAAGAAGAAGACGTTGAAGAGCAAGATAAAAGTAAAAGAAAACAAGGACAAACCCAACATTAGTTATCCCACCAATTTTGAACACACTGTGCACGTCGGTTTTGATGCGGTCACAGGCGAATTTACGGTAGGTTTTCTGCCAAGATATAAGACATATATACGCACAATTGTTTCTTTATACACCTATTGTTCAAAATGCACATGCTTACCGCTTTGCTGTTGTATCACGGTGCGGATTATCTATGACAAGACATTAATGTGGAGAAAAAAATGATGACCTTGTATTCGTCGTAGATTTTTTTTAAAATATCAGTGTTGTTGTCTTTTTGCGTTATTATATCCTTGTTGTATTTCTCTTGTGAATCGTATCGCGCACGAACATGGATTTTCCGTACCGGATCGAAATAAAATGAAACACTGGTTCACGTTATACTTATAAGACATTTCGAAAACGGTACTTTGATAATTTCTCCGATGCTTCTTATACTTTATTATTTTTCACATGACTAAACTAACAAGACACGTATTTCTTTCCAAGCTGCCATTGAAAGTAAGTAAATCAATACAAGTTAGAGTTTGCCTGTACACTTTATGTTTTACATACATATACACTACGTGATTTCAACACTTTCTTTTCGTTGCGGTTTTGTATATAAAATTAGATATTTTTGTTTTCTTTATATTGAGTATACCGAGTTTCATCGATATATATATATATATATATATATATATCTATTATAGTCGCTTCTGTGGATTGACATACAAGCTTTAGTCAACGTTGCATTGAGCAATATTCACTTTTTCCTTACAGAGCTTTTATGAAGTGAACGGAATAAATTGTCCAAATTTTACCAATTTCATTCACAGAGTTTTTGAACTAAACTTGTGTGAAACTCGGCATGTAATTAGTGTTTTTATACAAAAAAAAAAAAACGCAATGACTCATGAACTCTAAAGTTTTTATCTAATTACATATAGTATACAATAAATAAAAAAAAAAATATCACAATTCAACACAATACATTTTGTCTAAAATATGAAACGTATATGTATATACATACATAAAATATACTGGAAAGTTAAAAGTTTTTTCTACATGCGTTGTAACTGCATGTTTTTTTCGGAAATGGAAACGTAGGATTAGTAGTAGGTGTGTTTTAGACACAATAATATTTTTCAGACTATCGAATTATTATATCTGTCTGTTCGTTTTAATAGACACTACCACATTGTTCTCTTATGGTGATTGTTCTTCTTCTTTAGGGTATGCCAGAGGCATGGGCAAGACTGCTTATGTCCAGCAACATCAGCAAGCAGGAACAGAAGAAGAATCCGCAGGCTGTGCTGGACGTATTAAATTGGTATGATAGTAGTAGTAAGGAAGCGAAAGGCTCTAAGTACATGACCACTACTAAAATGGTCGGAGTTGTTGGTAAGTATCTGCGTGAGATTTTACGAGAAGATTTATCTTACTGCTGGAGATTATCTCATATTAATATATAATATTCCTTTTCAGCTCCAATCGAAAGGGCGAGTAGTCCTCGAAGTTTGGGAATGAGTATCAACACAGGAATAGGAAATATTCGTGGTCAGGCGATGTCACAGGCGTCCGGTAGTTCTCACTCCCAGCACTCGTTGAGCAGGTGAGTCTTTTACACTTTTACGTGTTACGATTGTCTCACGATCATCTAAATGTTTTCTGAGAAACGGCAACGTTATAGGGTGAGCAGCAGTAGCCCAAGCAGTACGCCAACGGATGCGTGCGCGACCAGCTCGGAGCAGGAGGATGAACCACCGCCCCCGCCGATCTCTGCCAGACCGGAACGTACGAAATCAATCGTAAGTGTTTTTTTTTTCAGCGCGCTTAACGCGATTAATACGAAAGCGCATTTTTGATGAGTTCAAATTATTGTATTGGAGTTATTGACCATTTTTCGCTGAACATTCTTTGTATAGTACACAAAGCCTATAGAAGAAGAACCTCCGCCTCCTCTGACAACCTCGTTGGGCTCACCGCAACGAAACGGCATGCAGCAGCAACAACATCAGTCCCAGTTAGATAGAAATAAGAATCAAGCAACACCGACGTCAACAACGACCGATCAAACGCGACCTACGCAAAGTGATAAAGCCAGAAAGAAGAAGATGTCAGATGACGAAATATTAGAGAAGCTTAGAACAATCGTCAGCGTAGGCGATCCTAATAGAAAATATACAAAAATGGAAAAGATAGGACAAGGGTAAGAGAGCGAAACCAAATTTTAACAAATGAATTTTAACAAATAAATAATTCTCAATATTTCAATAAGTAATTACACTGTGCTGATTAATAATCGATTTACAGCGCCTCGGGAACGGTATACACAGCGATAGAAACGTCTACGGGTATGGAAGTTGCAATAAAACAAATGAATCTGTCGCAACAGCCAAAGAAAGAGCTTATAATAAACGAAATTCTGGTGATGCGAGAGAACAAGCATCCGAACGTGGTAAATTACTTGGATAGTTATTTAGTTGGGGAAGAACTGTGGGTGGTCATGGAATATTTGCCGGGTGGCAGTTTGACGGATGTTGTGACCGAGACTTGCATGGACGAGGGTCAGATTGCCGCTGTGTGTAGAGAAGTGCTACAGGCTCTCGAGTTCCTTCATTGTAATCAAGTTATACACAGAGACATTAAATCCGACAATATTCTGCTGGGTTTGGACGGCGGTGTAAAGTTGACGGATTTCGGGTTTTGCGCGCAAATCTCGCCGGAACAGAGCAAACGAACGACAATGGTTGGTACGCCGTATTGGATGGCACCGGAAGTGGTAACACGGAAGCAGTACGGACCTAAGGTGAGAACGCGCGATTTCACATCTCAATTGTTATTAATGGAAATTGATAAAAATTTTGCATTTTGTGTAATTAATTCTTACATGTCGCAGGTTGACATATGGTCTTTGGGAATAATGGCAATTGAAATGATAGAAGGGGAACCACCGTATTTGAATGAGAATCCTTTGAGAGCGTTGTATCTGATCGCAACAAACGGTAAGCCGGAGATCAAAGAGAAGGACAAGTTGTCAGGAATATTTCAAGATTTTTTAGACCAATGTTTAGAAGTCGAAGTGGAGAAACGATCTTCGGCTTCCGAGCTTTTGAAGGTAAGAGAAACATTTATCGATCGCTTTTTTTTTTTTCTATATATACATTTTTTCTACACGTACATTTACATTTATTCCGTTCTAATTTTAATTACGGATATATATTTAAATTAAATTGCAGCATCCGTTTCTGAAATTAGCCAGGCCACTGGCTTCATTAACACCTTTAATAATGGCGGCGAAGGAAGCCGCCAAGGGTCATTAATTGAGACAATGTATTTAGATTATAGAGTCACATGAAACGTGACTGTTAAGAGCACGGTTTACGCGAACGATGCGAAAACAAAGAAATAAGTAATGAAATCACCCTCCCAAAACGAAAACGGCACAATAATTCAATAATATAATTAACAAATATATATATCTATATATAAATATAAATATACATATACGTATGCATTCATATGTGTATATATATGTCGTTTGTGAATATATATTATAATTATATGCGCGCGCGCGCGCGCACGTCTCTCGTAATGTCGTGTTTTACGTATCATATACACATATGCATGTATATATTCATTACATACGCATATAGATCATATAGATAGATAGATAGAATTCACTCGATATCCTTCCTGTGCGACGGACTATCGAGAGAAGAAAGACAGTTGTAAAATTAAAAAAAAAAAAAAAAAAAACCTTGCTCGCGATTCTCGCGCGTTTACGAACGCCGCGAAACACAAAATTAAATCAGAAAAAGCTATGAGCAATCCGATGATAGACCTTGTTTTTCCTCGATAAACTCCAATTTACAATTAGACGTAATGCACACTTACTTCCAGAGAGTCTTAATTTAGTCTTCGCAGGAAATAGAAATAAAAAAGAAGAAAAAAACGTAACATGCTTCACCGCGTGCTGTTTGTCTCGGACGAATTCTCTGTTATCTTATCTCCGATAGATTATCGAGGAAACACAAGCACGCAATTGTCAGTTATTTTCTAAAACTACTAAAAACAAAACCTAGTATTACATACTATAAATTTAAAAAGAAAAAAACGAGAGAGGGAGAGGAGAAAAAAATAATCGCGATCGGAGAGTTAGCAAGAAGAGCATATTATTTATAGTGAAAAACTTACTAGATAATAGCACAAATGTGAACAAGTATACATAGGACCTATTCTAATATATTATTATCGTTTATCGAGAAATCGGAAAAAAAAAGAAGCTTGGTCTTCGCGTCGGACTTATATTTTTCGATGAAAGTTACGGTGAAGCAGAGCAATATGTTTTTTCAGTGTGTTTTTTGTCTAATGCGACAATAGACATATAAGCGGTAGCCTAACTTTTGTTTTCAACTTTTTCACAAGTCATATATTCCGAACGCTGAATATATATGTATATTGTTTTTGTTTTGTTATTAATTTTGTCGTCTCGTAACGAAGAAGAAAATTGCTTTAGAAAAGAATTTTTATATGCGAATTTATGGCAATTTTTGTGTTGACATTAATTGCAAAGAAGAATTCGGTTTTATACATGTCAGCTCTAGCCGATTGCGTAAGAATTGCATATCTTGTTTGAAAAAAAAGGCTGCTATAAAAGAAGAGACGAGTACTTTTTCTCATTTGCGTCATTAAAAAAGGGAGAGAAAGATAGAAAGGAAAAGAGACACGTTAAGACATCGAATTCTATAAATTACCGAAGTTTATTACTTAGTTGATAAGAACATCTTTCCGGGGACAGTGATACTTGTCTCCACGTCACGTGTGTTCTTTGCTGTAAGTCCAACGCAACGGTTTTGTCTTTAACGTGTCTTACAAAAACAAAAAAACAAAAAAAAAACAAAAAGAAAAGAATTAATAACGGACGATCGATGATACTTTAAAACAAGGCTCAGACATAGGAGCATTTTGTGACACTATGAAGTGCCTGTCTTGTCGTTTAGAGACGTGAAGAAAAAAAAACTCGCGCTATAGATTACTCATAAACCAACTACGATATATAGTATTTTGTTTTAGCATCGTGAAGGAAAAGCAAACAAAAAAAAAAAGGGAAAAAAACAATAAGTGAACACACACATTATCAACTTGAGTTGACGTGTTTTTACGTAGAACAAATTGTGGTTCCGTACACGTATGGTTGTATTTGCATCGAACGTTTTATCGAGATATTGTCTTTCCTAATAATAATTGTATTTTACATGTGTCATCTCCGAGCGCCGTCATCGAAACGATACCTTGGAAGTATTTTACTTTTAAACGACATTGTGACTTTTTTGTAATTTATATATTGTTTGTTCTTTTTTTTTTTTTTTTATTCTTTTTTATTTTCGTACTTCCAACCCGATTATATTCGACTGTGAAATTTACTGCGCAAAATCGCCATAAGAATTCAGAATGTTGGGAGATCGTAGGAGATATTTGTGTATTTTCGAAAAAAAAAAACAAAAACCAACAAAACATCTGTTGAGAGATAACCGCGTTTTTTGTCTTATAGATAACGAGATCAAAGGATTATTGTTTTCCCGTCGATTTTCGAAAACCCGCGAGTAGCGTCTTGAACTCTGTTTTTTGTTTTCCTTATGTTTTGCGCAGTGGATCAAGCAGCTTGATTGACAGCAGGGTTTTTCGTTATAAATAATGTATGTATAGGACTCATATATAAATTAATATTAACATGAAATCATGTGAGAATATAAATATGATAGTTATAAACCGAGAAATTAACGATACATCTATATTGCATACGAAATGAGAGGGGAAGAAAAGATGCTCGCGTATTATTTGATAACGAGAAGTCGTATGTATACAGCATGTTATTCTCGACGTGAGTTCATTAGTTGTCTTCTATGTTTTTCTCTTTCTTTTGAGAATCATCTTAAGAAATAGCCTGATTAGATTTTTATAAAAGTATGACTGTACTTCAACCGAGAGAGGCAAACGAAGCAACGCGTTGGTTTGTGCACATCAACGTTTTACGACCGAATATTAGAGTCGGTATGCTGAAAGAATTTAATGCAATTTATCTTGGAAAAAGAGAATCAGGGATTATATGTGTGACGTAGTGTATTACTTTTAAATCCGCAAAACTCCTCAAATGTTCCGTAAACCGCAAACTTGCTGCATTAATCTCTGCTTCGGCATCCGTTTCTAAAAATCGCGTGGATGACTGACAGATTGAGGATTTAAAATAATTAAAAAAAAATGTGCGCACGTTTTAGTATTAACGAAAGATACGTATGATTGTGTAAAAAAACAAAAACAAAAACGAAACTGAGAAATGGTGCGATCCAGGGTTAAAGTGTGACGATCAGAAATACTGAGGAGCGAGGTCCTGCATTTTCACAAATATCCAAGAACAGCTTTGTTTCCTGTGTTATAATTTTTTTTTTTTTTTTTTATCACCCTGTTAATTTTAACGCTACGTGTAACCTGCAGCTATGTAACAGCAGCTATTGTAATTGTGTAATTTTTTATACACGTATTGCGGGTAAATCGCATATACACAATACATTATACGGATGCAAAATTGCCTGCACGCAAAAAATCATCACGCGATTGATATATATGGTTGAAGTACGTTTTAGCAGGTAGACATGTTCGCTGATAAACAGTATCAGGTGATCTCCTTTTAACGTATATATGAACAAAAGTACAAAATCTGTACCAAACATGCCTTAATCGTAATAATATAATAAGTGATGTATTACGAAAGTATACTATCATTATTTTTTAACATTAACAAATGAATTGCAACGCGTAGCGGAATGTACAAGAGCTTCGAAGAAAAGTACGAACAGGTGAATTTTTTAACGAGGAGAAAGACTTGTGCGTGGGCAACTTTGCATCTAATTTGCGCATCATGTGTCAGTGATCGTTCCAATTGCATTTAATTGTTCGCTGTGTGTAAATATTACGATGTACCATCACGTTTCATTTTAAGTTTTTAAAACGAGAAATATGTAGGTTCCTATTTTCGCGAAAAAATCATGTTGAGTGCGTATATACATATGTGCATGTTTTGCGGTAATATTTTTACGATGTTTTTGAAAATGCTTTGTGATCTCCGAATGAGAGAAAGAAAAAATAGGCCTATAGTAACAAAGTCGCTATTTTACTGCAGAGATTGAAAAAAAATAAAAAAAATAAAAAAAAATAAATAAATAAAAAAATATGATCCTTCTCTCGACGGAGAAAGGTTCATTTGACTTTAACTTTTGTAAGAGAGAAAACGCATTTATCGTTATCGGAAATCACATTCGGCAAGAAATCTGGTCTCTCAGGAAAAAAATTATAACGTTTGAAATTTTTATCATTATAAAAATTTCAAAGCAAAGGAACGCAAACTTAGAAAGGAGGTAATGAATTGTAAAAACAAAAAAAAATAATGCCTAGAATTTTTGCGTATATATTGTACTATAACACCTTTCAGTTTGTTTTGAAACGTTACAATATAAGGAAGCATTTTATAACAAACGTGTGTGGGTTTCTTTTCTTTTCATATATAAAAACATCCTTCCTTACAGAGGTTAACATTGCGGAGTGATAACTTATCACACATATCTATATCTTCATTTCGTTTGAGATACAGAGTTTTACAGAAATACCTATTTACAATATATTAGGATATTTATACGTTATTATTGAAAAAATAATATTTCTCTTAGGTTTGACGTTTTATCATGGCTTTCTCGCAAATCACGTGTATACATATATATACATTTCGTATGAGTGTATTCAATGCGCATACGTACAGAGTATAGCAAAAATCGTGCTACAATCTCGGAAAAGAAAATGATTCCTCATACAAATCGAAAATGAGAAACAAAACTGACGAGTAGTACCAAAGGTACTGGTGAAGGGGCGCCTCGTATCGAGCATGAGATACCTAATATATTACCCGTGACAACTGGAATTTGTTTTGCAGAAAATTCGATCAACGATCGAACTTTTTGTACAAATACTCGTTACGTTTTAATACGTTTTCCACATTCTTTACATTTGCATGAGGAGTCATTTTCTTTTTACTTGCATCATGATTTCGATGTACCTTGTATATATACGCATTTCACATCAAGATTCTAAAAAATAAATAAGGAAACTTTGAAAAATAAATTGATACTATACAGAATGAGTTATCTTTACGCGTGAATATGATTGTGAAAAATGTTCCGTCAAAATCTCATTAAAAAAAAAAAAAAAAAAAAAAAAAATTTATTTTAATTATAGCATTTTAATTTGTACTTATTTAAAATTTAATTAAACAGGATAAAATGAAACCGTTAGTATATAAAAATAGTTATCAATTCAATAACATGTTATGTTATAATTAGAACATTTGTTATAATTCAATGACAAACTTTTTCATTTTATAGATTATTCAATGTCATCGAGATTGTAATTGCTACTTTATTTTTTTTTACAATGCGTAAATAGAAGAAATATTAATATAACACGCAATATATAACTTCACTCTCTCTTTTCATAAATATAAATATTGTTAGTAGTAAAATATACGCACGAACTTATTTTAACCGGATTTTGCTTCTTCTTTCTCACTTGACTCTGATGCTTCTTTAATGTCTCCTTTAACATCCATCACTCTTATTTGACACTCCCTTCTTGTTCTTTCTCCTCCTTCTTCTCCGTTCCAGCTGGATAGAAGTTTATGGCGGCGGAATTGATGCAAAAGCGCTTCCTCGTCGGTTTCGGTCCGTCGTTAAACACGTGTCCCAGATGTGCGTCGCACTTGGAACAGGTCACCTCCGTCCGCACCATATCTGGGTTCGCGATCAGCAGTAGTAGATTTCCGCCGACTAGTCGGTTTAGTTTGACGCGACGCGTGGTTTTCGGTGGTGATTTGTTTTTTTTTTTTCAGTGATGAGAGTGAAGTGGTGGTAGTAGCCAAGGAGTAGTCAAGGAAGGCAGAAGGAGAGAGAACAATAGAGTGTGATTAGAAGCAGACTAACACCTTGCCTTGTGATACACTTTCAGAAATGACACAAGCAATTTAAAAAGTTTAGATTAAGAAGATATATATAAAAGGAATATAAAAGAGAGTTGAGCCAATCACATAAGAAGTCAAGTAACATGTACAAATAATACTAAGGATCAGGTTTCATCATCTCCGATTAACTTAATCGACCGATTATTCCGTTGGAATTGACCATTCACGGGTGACGCTCAATCGGTCGATTAATTTAACCGGAGTAGACGAAACTGACCCTAAGAAAAATAAAATAATCTAAACAAGTACGTACATATATGAAACTATTCAATAAACATATTTCTATATATTAACTTTTACTTGTCAATTGATTTTTTATTTAAATTATAAACGTGCTTATCTTATGGAAAATTATACAAACACATCCACGCGCTAATATATTACATGTTCTGTATTTTATTTACAACTACTATCTTATTTTGTAACGTGTACATTTCTTATATATTCACAGTCTTACATTGCAGTTCTTATTTATAACTTCATTAGTTTTTAATATTCAAACACACTTTCACAGCCATTGCGACTATAATAATAAATGTAAAATGCGCAGAGAAAATTTATTTGTGTCAAAAAAAATGTCGTAAAAAGCGATGTTTTTATTAAGATGTTAAAAAATTGCAACTGAGAAAAAAATAAACATTCGACACAGCTTCTGCCGAGAGAGAAGCTGAGAGTTATTCGATTATTTTTCGTATTCATAAACAGCACTGAACAATCCCGATGTTTCATAATGTACGACTGGCATATATTAGTTTCTCGATATAAAAAGAGTTATGTAAGTCTAACGCTATCACACTCTAAGCAAATACATGCGGGAACTGGGAGAAACACAAACTATTGTAACGACAATACAATATGTGCACGATAAAATTAAGTCTAAACAAATCATAAATAAATGGATTTTTTTAAATAAAACAATATAAAAAGATTTCTGTATTCATTAATACATATATATCATTAAAACAACATAAAGAACACAAAAAAGAAAAATTAAAAATTGTTCACTTAAATTTACCAAATTTGCGTTTCTTACGAAAATTCGTTTTACTATATATAGCTACTAAACAGTAAATCCTTTACTCCGGATCGGTGCAGAAAGAACAACAAAAAATGCGAAATAATGAAGTTCAGTGATGTTACACATGGATGCGTAATCGTGATTATGTGCATATGTTATGATTGCAGTCCCCTGCAAAATAGCAAGCAGGCACAAAAAGCGCTTTGACAGACTTATTTACAAACAACTACTCTGTTGCGTAATTTTTGTATGTACCTGCGCGCTATTAAATGTTACGTGTAATGAAAAAAAAAACGTAAATGTAAGACGTGTCTATATACATTATTATAAGAATCCGAATATATAAATTTATCGTAAACAAATTTTACTACAGAATTAAGAAGAATTGAGAAGAAGAATTGTATTAAGACAAGTGCTCACCGTGAGAAACGTCTTTGGTCAGTTTGACGCGTTCCCGTGCTAAAACCTCGTTGAATGCAGGCCATCCGCATCCGCTATCGTACTTGGTGTCTGACGAGAACAATTCCTGATTGCACACAATACAGGTATACGTTCCCTTTTCGTAGAACTTATTGTAGCAACCGGTAAATGGCCTGCATCAAGCAAAATATAGGAATAAAGTCGGAGCAGGGAATCACAAGGTGATGAGGCGGGGAGAGAAAACCACACCGAATGGTTCACACGTCATATGTACATATATATATATATATATGTGCATACATACAGACACACATGCGGTTTATTTTCAAACTTGGCCATGAGGCAACTCGCAACATACCTACACGCGGACACACAGCAGATGGTCTTGAAGTTATTTTAAGTATCTTTTGTGAGAGAATGTGTTTCACAGTTTTTATTTCTCCTTGTAATTTAGTTTTTACAAATTATGATTTTTGTGCTTACGATAATATATATATATATATATATATATACATTTTGACGTTTTAACACGTAATCGACACCGACCGCCTAAAAATAGATGGTTTGCTAACGCAGCGTTTGTCAACCGGAAGCCTATTTTAAGTCGGTTTAGAGCGACTACCGAGTTAAGTGTTAATAAAAAATGCATTAATTAGTATAAATTATTGTTAATTTTCATGAAATTATACAGATGTATCGATTTACTTCTGTGTATATGAACACTCCATAGTTTTTAAAACAAACGTACATTAACAAACGTAATTTTTGTTTGCGTCAGAAGCGGTGAGTAAATTTACTCGATAAAAATGTGCAAATGTAGAGCACAGCATTCGCACATGTATTATCAGTATTATTAGCACAATTCGTCATTTTCGCGTTATCACTTGTTACGCAACTATGTTGCTCCTTGGTTTAACTATTACAGAAATAGAGCGCGTCTCGTCGCGAAATAAAATCGCACACAAGTCGAAAATAATGGAAGACATTGTTAACAAGCAAGTCTCCCACACATGACGCGTGTAAAAATTTTTGTGAAGAGTATTTTAGTCATCCTCAATAATGTTGTGTAAATGAATTTACAAAGCCAAAGACTGTGTTGTCACGTTGTTGCGCTGTGTCGACACAGCGACGGATCTTACACCTAATTGACGTAACAACAGTCGTGATCAAACGTGTGTGCTCGGCTTTTACGACACCGGTCTCGTGATTGATCGAGTCTTTTTTACGTAGGTAGGTAAGTAAGTCCCTTTTCGCGTATTTCGTTTTCTCACCTCTCCGTGCCCTTCTCCTGCGTCACATGGTACTGCATCGGCGTCAGGCGACTTAGCGCCTCCTGTTTTTCGGCCTCCGTCATCATCCTTCTGATCGCACCGAGCGCGAGTCGCAAAATCTTGAGACGCGTGTGCACGGGAAACCGAGTTCCCGTGGGAATGTGTCAAAAACAAAAAAAAAGCGAGTTTACACACGTTACGATGAGAGTAACGGCTCTCCCTTACTCAGGCAAGAGAAGACAGTTCTTGCCGCGGTTTTCGTCTCGTCGCTCCGAACGATTTGACACCTCTTCGTCGCAACGACTAGTGACCCTGACTGACCGTTCGAATGTCGCGTTTTGCAGAACTGGCGATAAACTGGGGCGCTCCAGTCACTTTCCAGACACCGACGCAGCAGCTGCTGCCGTATAACATGAAACGGAACGTAATCTGACACGTTCGCTGGAAAATGAATGAACAGCTGTGTTGTACGAACAGATGGTCAACCTTGCGTAATATTTTAGAAATAAACGTAGAAACTTAATAATTATTATCGGCACGTTTGAGAGAGATGTAAGATGTGGAACTTGAACTTGGGATTCTCTCGCGTGTGTTGTCGCAAGAAACGACGTTTTTTTTATTACGCAGAGTCGCGCGTGCGCTATACAGAATTTTGCATGATAAAAAAAAAAAAAGATAAAATGTTTACGTAATGAAATATATAATTAATTAAACAAAAATATTTTCTTTCATTTATAATGTAATAACAAAAATAATCAAGACAAATGTGCACTGATTTTACTGGCAATGGATACATCACGATAATAATTTTACCGATAACGGATATATTAGACAACAGCAATACCGGTAGTCGGTAAACATAACCTCACATAAGTCACGACGTACGAACGTCTAGGAACGCGCGACGCGCATAGTTCGAAACGTCAAAAATCAATGTAACTTCATGCATAAAGCGTCCTCTGTGTGTCAACAATACGAAAGATCGTGTTTTTATACATGTTATTCGAATGAAAATAGCTTCTATTTTTTAATTCCGAAACCTGCGTATCTCAAATCCTATGAAAATAATTTTTAGAAGAGAAAAATGTAAATAATCGAATGTGTGTGTGCACATAAAATTGATAAAATTTCGTTAAGTTACACTTGTGCGCGTTTGGTAGCGTTCCGCGAATGATCACAAGTGGTGCGAGTTCACGGACTGGTCAGCGTGACGTCATAACCTAACCCAACGTGCGGCAGGACGCGACGAACGAGCGCGATTGGTCGACCGGCGCAGCAATGTGACGATTGGTGGGAGGCGTGAGGTCGGTCGACAGGTCGGCTGATGTCGGCACCGAGCGCCGCCGCCATCTTGGCAGACAGAACGAGCCTGCTGTCGCTGTCACTTGCCGAGTGTAACACCATCATCCAGCTGAGCTCCGTTGAAGCTTGTGTAGCGCGAGCTGTCTGGCTCCGCTGCTAGTGAACGCGGAGAAATCGCAGCGGGTTCGCGAGACGCGGATAGCAAAACCGGCTGTGGAGGAGGCGGTGGCGGCGGGCAAGAAGAGGGGACGAAGAAGCAGCGGGAGAAAGAGAGAGAGAGATAGAGAGATAGAGAGAACGAGGAGGAGAGGTACCGCAGGGGACCGGAAAAATAATATCGGGGTGAGCGGGACGTCACCAAGCGGCGTCTCGCGGTCGGTTCCCGTGTCCGCTGTTCGTCGTGTCCGGCCGTGTCGTGGCCCTGTGTCTCATCGGTGTGTCGCAACGTGTGCGGTGTGAAGTCAGGAGTGTATCGGGAACCCCAACATCAGTCGCCCGTCTTGGCCGTTTCGAACAGCGGCCGACTTCACTCGCTTCTCGCGCGAGTGTGTCTTGAGGATTTCTCGCGTTTATTGTCAGCCGCGCGCGGTTCTTTCTCGCGCTCGTTTTTCCCTCCCCCCTCCCGTATACACAGGGAAAAAAAGTTCAATCAATTTCGGGAGGCAGTGTGTAACGTCGTTCTGCTGAATCGCGCTCGCTAAATACAAGTGTGACAGCGAGGACAGTATGGCGGGACAAACCATCAACGACAGGCTGTTGGCCGCGAGGCACAGCATCGCCGGCCAGGGCCTCGCCAAGTCCGTCTGCAAGGCCACCACCGAGGAGATGATCGGACCCAAGAAGAAGCATCTCGACTGTGAGTAACGAGAGCAAAAGTTTACTACAGACGTTTTTCCGCGAGTCCTGTTACCGGCACGTTGTGTTTCAATTCATACGTATGTGTATCTCTCTTTCTCTTTTTCTCTCGACAGGTATATAGCGCACGAAAGTGACTCGATATTAACAGTTATCACACACGCAAACCAGTATCTCTCTAAGTAATTGAAGTGTACTTCGGAGAAGACCTTTCTCCTCGAATCGCGCGATCGTTAACGCGCGTATCCTTCTGACCGTTCGAAAGAAAGACGTTACATACGTGCCACGTTACGCATACGTGCAATATGATAAATTATATAATCGCAAAAAAATTACAATCTCTCAGATTTCGTCGAAAATTCATCGAGCAGATATTATTTTGCAATTTTCTGCAGAGAAAAAAAAAGAAAGAGAGAGACATTTCGAAAGGTGTAAGAAAGTGTAGCAAGGTGGAAAGAAAACGAGATGCGCGTTTGGAACTACCGGTACTAATTTATCGACGAGTTTGTCCTATTCCCCGCTCTCGTCTCGCGAGCAAAGAGAGCAGGTATTTGATGATTTTTTTTTTTTTCCTAATCCTCGACTCCTCGTGTGTAATTGTAAACGCAAATTTCACCTTGCAATCTGGTTTCGCGAGATTGCGCGTTCGCAACATGCAAATGTCATTCCCCGTACAATCCGGGGGAGTGACGCCTGGATTTGCAGCTGTGTAGTCGTGATTCGCACATCTCGCTTATCTTTATTTTTTAATTAATTTACGAAAATCACGGGAGGAATTTTTCGATACGTGTGAAAGATCGCTTGGATGATCGAACAGAACTGCGCTTTGTGAGAGAGATCTGTTTGTCTGTTTTAGTATTTATATAATTAATCTCAGCAGTGATAACAGATTTTCGCGTTACGTCAAACGATACGGAAAATTCAAATCGATCTTCACGCGTGTAACTTAAAACCCTTTGTGTATAATTATCGATGCAAAGGACACGCACGCGTTGCTTTGTTGTCTCGGAACAAAATGTTCTAATTTCAATCCGACTCCGTGTGTTCGATACTGGTTCGAAAAGTCACTTGACCTATAAAAATATGCCGAAGAGGGGTGCGGAACTACTTTTCAGTAGGGAACCTGATACATCATCAGTATCAGAATATAACAGCTGCACTCAGAGTAGTGTAATAATTAAAGTTAATTAGAGAAACTTTATATATTTGGCTCGAAACTGATGCATAAATATGCCGGGAAAAAAAAACACGAGATAAAATTCGCAAAATGCTTCAATTATATTTATTTATGCACGTTGCATCAGAGTTAAATTTAATCGTTGCATTAATGCGGCTATTTGTCAGTTTAAAAACAAAATTTCTCAACATAGTTTCGCGAGACACATTGACACTAATGTAAATATATACACGTTCACTATTCATTAACACATTTGGAGACACTTTCGTCGAACGTAATTTCCAAGGTGACGAGAACCTTTCGAGATTGCGGTAGTCTGTTTAGCGTCATGTTGTGTTTGACGATTACATATCGCTAGGTTAATTTCCTTCCGTTACATAGCACGAAGCATTGGATGACAGCGAGTTTGATAGTCGGACTTTATCGTTCTCCGTCACTCCTACGATCCGACCTCGGTAGAAACGCGCGTATCTCTCAATGAACCCTACGCCACGTTCTTCACAGAAAAATCGATCGACATCTATTTCAGTCCTTGTCCTTATTCGGACTTGACTTCTTTTTCCGGTCAAGCGGAAAACTCAGTTTCTTCAGGAATAATTATACACTCGAGAAAGATCATCGTGTAAAGAATATTGCTAAGAGACTGAAAACAACTGCGCTTTTATTAAAAAAATGTAAAACTTGACGAAGACGAAGTTTGAGAAAGAACCAAGTTTTCCTGACAAACTTTGCAATTTATCGCATAAACTTAAGTCATAATTTGTCACATAAGCGTTTTGATATTGTTTGACGATCTGTCTGGTGAATTTTCTCACCGTAAATTTATAATAAAACATTTGTCAATCAACTCGAATTTTTCCAAAAAATTTATTGTTTTGTATTTGATTTTTAGGTAACGTTGATGAGCACTCGTTGATAATCTTACTCTGACTTAATAAAGTCAGAGCGAAACCCTACGAACCTCGGAGTTCCATTTATCTATCGATTTTCGTGACCGAGCGCACAGTCGTGCGGAATATATATGTATTATAGACCTATGAGTGATGCCAAAATATTCCAGATGGAATTCTCTTCTTGATGGAATTCTTACGGAAAAATCGCTCGGGAATTTCTCATCTTTTCATCTCGTCGTAAGAAAATTACAATTTTCCGAATTTCTTATCATTACACAGTTGTTTTTTAACACGACACTGCGTTACGTGCAATAATCTTAATTTGTTTTAATTTATAAGACTGTTTATTCTAATGTAAACGAACACTATAGCATCTTTCACGTCGAGCGTGATTCACGGCTCTGTTCTTTCCTGTTTATTATGTCTTCGTGTTTTGGTTACACATCTTTAGATATATCTGAATAGAATATTACAATAACGGAATAATATTTGCCATCGAGTTTGACTTGTTTCTCTTCAGCGATACACTTCAAATAATCGTTGCTATTGAGAGAGGCTTTCATTAATCACGTGAGAATAGCGAAATATAATACTTGAGAAAATACGTAATGTTTGTCTTGTACTTATATTTGAAAATTATTAATTTTATAATCGTACATTTTTGGATTACATATCAATATGTGAAAAATTGTTTCGATTCGCGGATCAGCGAGATTTTTAGTCTTTATTTTTTAAATAGGGCAGCGAAAAATTTTCTTATATCAAGAAGATTTGCAGAACTCTTAAGAGTTTTTCTTGTCATTACAAAATTATTAGCTGGCGCGAGAAATTTGCTCGCACGAGTGATAAGATGACGGTCACGATTACGAGAGAGAGATAAAACATTGTCCTCTACAAGAAAAGGGATTAAACAATGAATGGCCTTTAAAGCTATTTGCACCTTTCAAAATCAATTAAGTTTTTTACCGCTGTATAATAGTACGTTTAATTGATCACGCTGCCGTACACGGTATCATTATAGTCGCAGATTAGCCATCAGTGAAAATGAACTTTTATAAAGTCATTCACGGTCAACGTTCCTCACGGTCAACGGTCTCTTCACCGAGAGAGCAGCCTATATTGTGTTACTGCTACTATTACGAGCAATAGAAAACAAGGGAGTCTGTCCCCAACAGAGTTGAAGACAGTGAATATTCAAATTTGAATCTGTCTGTGGAAGAAAACAGATCAGGAACGTACGAAAATTCCGACAAATATATGCGTGTAAAATATAAATAATTGTCGAGATTGGGATCTGTTTTGAAATTCTAAAAAATTTTGATCTTGAAATATTTAACAATTGAACATGGAACAGGTTTAATGTGTAACAAAAGTTTTTTACTTTTTCAAACAAAACACAAAGTGTATTTTGTCGTTCAATTTGTCTTTTAAATCTTCCTGCTGTAAAAAAACAAAAAAAACAGCTCGAGAGTTGTCCACCAAAAATACATTCGCAAATAACTTCGAGAGATGTGCAAACGACAAATCGAAGTGTTTTGCAAAAATGTGCGAACGAGTCGGATTCCAGAGAGACAATCCGGCGCGCGCAAGGTTCAGTTATCTATCTCTCTGTTGTGTGTGACACGATATGGTTAATCTTATCGCGTTATTTTACACAAAATCGAAATAAAAACATGACTAAAACTTTTGACGTTTTGTAATATAAGAAATAAACACGACTAGAATTGTTTTTTTTTTTCCGATTGGATCTTTGATCCAAAAGTTACTTACTATCATTTGTGTACATGCCACGTGATTCACAAAGAAGTTTTTGTTTTGAAACAAATTTATTTGTCAATGTGTAGAATACAATGGATCTTTCACCGAGAGTCTTTCCAGATAAATGTAAAATCAACGGATGTAATTATAAATTTGGTAACTCTGAGAAATTCTCAGAAAAGATATAAATTGCAACGGAATTTATATAATTACGAATCAATCCGTGCTCCGGATCAACTCCGGAATACCGGGAAGAATTTAAAATTAATAAAGTTAATGTACGTTCTTTCTCTGCTGTGTACCACACACAGAGTGCGTACAATAAACTACGCGGGAGAAACCAATCGATATCACTTTTATTTTTCATACAGAGAGAAAAGTAACAACGCGTCTTTTTTTTACCGAACAATGTGCGCGTTGTAAATAGGTATTGTTTTCCATTCTTGTTTGTGCGCGACTCAGCTCTCTGTAATAACGATTACAAGTGATAAAATTGTATCGCTCTTTGCAAGAATCGTAGAAGCTATTTGCGAGCTGGCATGACCGTAATTTTTGAACCGTATGCCAAACTGCGCAAAAGCAAACGCAAATCTATTCCGTCTTGCTCGACAATGCGAGAGTGAGGTCGTAGAGTGTCTCACAATTGAAAAACCGCAAGGAAATCCGAACGCGGCGCGTGTCGGATTGGAGAAGATACGCCGCGCTGCTCGATTGAATTTACGTAAATGGCTAAACACAACGTGCTTACGTATATGCGCATCGCGGGCGCGTTCTCTCTCGAAAGGCCTGCGCGAGGTGGACTGTCGATTTCAAGAGCGAAAGAGAAAGCAGAGAACGCGCCAAATGAGACAAATGAAGAAAAAAGAACAGAGATTTTACCGTATCAGGGAAACGAGTAGTTATTACAATTGCGTCGCACGCGCCGAAGAACGGCAGACAGACGGGGTCATTATTTTAAGAAAAAAAACACATGAGAGATAATTTCTTTTCTCTCTTCTCCGAATAAAAATAAACTTGAAAATCCACAAAGAAAATCTATCGCAAAAAACGATTATTAAATTGGATCTGTCACTTAATTGAAGATATTTAACACAGGAATATTGTGTTTTATTTTTGTCTAACGGGTAACGAAAAAATAATAATTTGTTTTCATCAAACGGATAATTTTTAACG